CCATGCAGGGGGATACTCCATCCTGCCACAGAACTGTTAGTATGTCTACGTTCTCTTGTAGGTGACAGCATAACCCAAATATCTCTGGATCTTGTGTCTCCTAGGCTTGGTTCACATATATGCATTTTGAGTTTGTTGCTTTCACCACTGGTTTTGCAGTTTGTTTTGCGTTTTTCTACACGCATTTTTGCCACGTTTTTTCCACGTTTTATTCAGCTATTTTTTTTTTGTTAAAGTGGAATTTTTTTGTTGCTAGGCAGAATAAAAATGCAAAACGCAGCAAAAACCTGGCAAAAATGCACTACCCTGAAGACAGGCATAGCATGAGGTTAAGGAGCCATATGTTTACATGAAAGATGAACCATCATGTGAGTAGATATCTCTGTGTATAGTCGATCTAATAAATGCGGTTTTACACTATGAGAGTCTTCTGTTTATGCATGAACCAGAGAGGAAGTTGGCTATAGAGTATACAGCGCTGGGGAGGATCCTGTGATACACCTGAGTGGTGTCTGTCTCTTAAGGCGAGTTGCCCCTGTAGGATCTTTGTAAGGAGGAACCGGAGAGGAAGCTGGCTATAGAGTATACATCGCTGGGGAGGATCCTGTGATACACCAGAGTGGTGTCTGTTCCCTAAAGCGAGTGGACCCTTCAGGGTCTATGTAAGGAGGTGAGGGGCCATTGCAGCTATTTTTGGATATACACAGTGTGGACACTTGACATCACCTGCATGAAGATTGTATATTAGATACACTATATATATATGGACATGGAAAAAGTGGAGAGTATAACGAGCGCTGGACAGTTTTTAGAGCGAAATTTTACTCCAATGCGCTTTTATTTGCGCTATCTGGTTAGTGCATTCCACAGCCATATACCACAGATGTCACAGATTTACGTCACTCTCCGATGATAGATTGACTTTGACACCTTTATCACCATTTATACCTTCTTAACCATGAGAATGTTAAATATTGGTTGCATAAGACTATTATGGTAGCTGCGTTTATATCTTATTAAGTGGTCACTCCGTATTATGAGATAGATCTATTCACTCTAGCTAGCGCTGCATGTTTTTGTATATGATATATATGGACATGTTCACATAGAGTGGAGATTTTTTATTAGAGTATTTTGTGATATATAGTTTGTTTGGTCACTTGGTCACTTTGAATATTCCCTTTTTAGGGAATACACGGATTGCACTTTATTGAATAATATTGATCACTTGGTCACTTTGATTATTCCCGGTGGGAATACACGTGTTACACTTTATTTGCACTGTTGCACGTTTATATGATATATATTGATCTAGCATTTATTTATTTATATATATGTATGTTTGTTTTAGTATTTAGCGCTGGACTATTTATTTATCTATGTTCCATAGGAAACCATGTTAAATGGACTGTAGTGTGTTTCTGCAATAAGCGCTAAAAAAACACATTGGTTCTTAATGAAGAGAAAATTATGGATTATTTTATTTTTTAGGCAGATAGATATGAAGTCTTTCACTAGAAAGAACAGCATGCTCTGTAAACAAAGTTTCACGAACATACCCAATTTTAAATTTAAAAAATAAGTGTTAAATAAAGATATTATAAAAATAATTATTGAAAAGAAACATTTATAAACCAATGCTTTCCATGGGGGAAGAACTAACCATTGGCTGTAAAATTCCAACCTGTCTTATTTTTATGCTTCTTACAGAAAACATCAAAGTCCACTAGCACCCAAGGCAAAATAAGAAACTGACCTGTCTACAAGCTTTAGATGGTGCATGCCTGCATGTATGCACACACAGTGCCTGGACTGGCACAGAAATGACATGCTGTATGGCAGCCCCAGGGCTGCCCACTTTTAATCCATGAAAAACTAGATGGCAGGACTGAGGCAGAGTTGGTCCACTGTGGTCCAGTTATAATGGACATAGAAAAACGGACCTTGTTTTTCATCATTATAACCAGAATTTGTTCTTCTCTCGGGGAACCAAGATAGTTTATAACTTACCATTTTAATTTTTGATTTCTCTCTTTTATAAGGGCACTACATTTATACTTCTGGAACACAATGCTGTGAAATTATTAATGAAACAGATGCATTTGGTTATATTGTGCATCTTTCAGAAAACTGTTATGTGAAGGTATTTATGAATGAAGGCTGAAAATGTTACTTGCAGACTTCATTCATACAGTAGCTGTGGTCTGCACTTCTAATACAGAAAGTGGGAGCTGACTGGCAGTTTACCAGTGCAATTTGTGAGAAAAGTGGGTGCAATAACCTTTCCTGTCTAGCCAGGGGGTCATTTGTTTTACTCAAAAGCTGCCCCTCAGACAACTTTAGCATTCTCTGGTGCTTCACTTGTTCTATATTCTTCTACCTTGTTGTGTTGATGGATGTTTAAAGTTCACATGGCATCCCTTGTTAATTCAAGTACAGAACATAGGAGTATCTTTAATCATTCTTACTACTTACACAGAAGCAAAAAGGGACATACTAGTCAAGTAAGGAATTTTTGTAGTTTGTTCCACTTTTGCAAGATTAAAGTAATATTATAGGCAATTTTAAAAAACAAAAATAACAAACATGTTACAGTTGTGTTCAAAATAATAGCAGTGTGTTGAAAAAAGTGAATAAAGCTCAAAATCCTTTAATAGCTTTTATTTCCATACACACAAATGCATTGTGAACACTACACATTCTATTCCAAATCAAAACATGAAGAAAAATATATCAAAATTGTGTTGTTCTTCTAAAAAAAGTGAAGGAAAGTGAATATAAGACTGTTCAAAAAAATTGCAGTGTTTGTATTCTTCTTTACAAACTCAGACATTCACTATATAATTGAAAAATGTTTGAAGATTTTGCTTTCCTTTGAATCACTTAATGAATATTCAGTTGTATAAGCACTGTTTCTGAGAACTGCTGTACATCTGTGTTGCATGGAGTCAGCCAACTTCTGGCACCTGTGAACAGGTATTCCAACCCAGGATGATTGGACTACATTCCACAGTTCTCTATTTCTTGGTTTCGCCTCAGAAACTGCATTTTTGATGTCACCCCACAAGTTTTTTTATTGGATTAAGATCCAGGGATTGGGCTGGCCACTCCATAATGTCAATCTTGTTGGTCTGGAACCAAGATGTTGCACGTTTACTGGTGTGTTTGGGGTCGTTGTCTTGTTGGAACACCCATTTCAAGAGCATTTCTTCTTCAGCATAAGGCAGCATGACCTATTCAAGTATTCTGATGTATTCAAACTCATCCATGATCCCTGGTATGCGATAAATAGGTCCAACACCGTAGTATGAGAAACATCCCCATATCATGATGCTTGCGCAACCATGCTTCACTGTCTTCACAGTGTACTATGGCTTGAATTCAGTTTTTGGGGGTCGTCTGACAAACTGTCTCCGGCCACTAGACCCAAAAAGAACAATCTTACTTTCATCAGTCCACAAAATGTTGCGCCATTTCTCTTTAGGCCAGTCAATGTGCTCTTTGGCAAATTGTAACCTCTTCGGCACATGTCTTTTTTTCAACAGTGGGGCTTTGCGGGGGCTTCTTGCAGATAGCTTGGCTTCACATAGGCGTCTTCTAATTGTAACAGTACTCACAGGTAACAAAAGACCTTCTTTGATCTTCCTGGAGCTGATTGTTGGCTGAGTCCTTGCCATTTTGGCTATTCTTCTATCCATTCGAATGGTAGTTTTTCGCTTTCTTCCACGTCTTTCAGGTTTTGGTTGCCATTTTAAAGCATTTGCGATCATTTTAGCTGAGCAGCCTATCATTTCCTGCACTTCTTTATATGTTTTCTCCTCTCCAATCAACTTTTTAATCAAGGTACGCTGTTCTTCTGAACAATGTCTGGAACGACCCATTTTCCTCAGAATTTCAGAGAGAAATGCACTGTAACCAGCATGTACAACATTTGCTGCCTTCCTTCCTTAAATAAGGGCAATAATTGCCACCTGTTTTTGAAAGAATGAATGACCTCACTAATAGAACTCCACACTGCTATTATTTTGAACATGCCCCTTTCAATTAGTGATTCAATTACACAGAATCAGCAGCATGTCATGACTGTTGGGTCTGTTGGATTTCTATTACTCTACTACAGCTGCTAGTAAATTATTTGCCATGTAGAAATATAATTTCTACCAAAAACAGTGATTGATCAGGTTAGTGATGTCTGACTGCTATTATTTTGAACACAACTGTATACTTACCTGCTCTGTGTAATGGTTTTGTACAGAGCAGCCCTGATCCTCCTCTTCTCGGGTCCCCCCTGGCTTTCCTAGCCTGTCCCTCCTGCCAAGTTCCCGCAAAGCAAGTTGCTTGCTATGGGGGCACCCAAGCACTCTAGCTCTCGAGCTACTGATCTGTGTGTCCATTCACACACAGAGCCGGGCTTGACCCACCCCTTTTCTCTCCTCATTGGCTTACTGGCTGTGATTGACCGCAGCAAGAGCCAATGGCTCCAGCTGCTGTCTCAGCCAATGAGGAGGAAAAGTCCCCCAAGAGATGAGGCTCTCATGTACATCGCTGGGCTGCTGCACACAAGTTTTGTACCTTCATGCATATAATGTATGAAGGTAAAAAACCTTGAGCCTTTACAGCCACTTTAATGCCACAGCAGTCTCCTGAACATTGCATTTTAGTTGTCCACTATAAGAACCCAAGCACAGAAATTCTGCAACATGATCATTTTTATAGAATTATAAAAAGAGCAAAATGACCTCCATAATAACTGTAGTATTACTGTAAAAAATTAACTGCAGCCTGTCTTAACTGTTTAGTGGCTCCTGGACAGCAGTATTTATGCAGTGGGGAAAATGAACCTTACCGCCAAAAAATCCATTTTGGGTGCAGCTGCTCACATTTCAGAAAACTAAAATCATCAATGTTTAGCAGTTTCAAATTAAAAAAGAAATAATCAATCTTATCAAATTGTTTTACAGCCCATAATATGTATTATTGCTACACACTACTGACCTTACCCTAAACCCATTAGCTTGCAGACCCATTGAGACAACTCTTCCTCCCAGTCGTCAGCACAAACATGGTAATTGTCAGCTGATCTGTGTATCACCAGAGATGTTGGGGAGCTGATATTGCTAGAGACAGAGACTGAAATATAAAAAATGAAGAAAGGTTAATGACATTAACTATATTAGAATTAAAACCAGATTTGTTCCTTGTAATGGTATAATGCTGAAAAAATGTTACAAAAAATAACTTTTTCCTATATGGGATTATTTATTATGTAAAAATATGTTAAAATATATTGCAAATTGCAGCATCAAGCTCAGACAGATATTAAAACACAATTTAAAATAACAATGTATTTATGTTAATGTTACATTAAACTAGCATACAGTAAAATCCTTGCTCTGTCTTATATCAGCCTGCCATTCTTTGCACAACAGCACTCAGATGAGGAGCACTAGGAGCCAATCAAGCTTTACTGCATGCCCATATGCAGATGGGGGAGAGCAGACTAAAGAGATTTGATGGTTTATCAGTGTTCTGCTACTTCTTTATTACACAGTCAGCAGGCTTCGGTTAGGAAAGTGACCCCAGAAAATCTACTGACTTTACTACAGAAATTGGCATCACCCTTCTGGCTGTGCTGTCTGGCAGAGGTGTATGACTTACATAGTGGCTGGACAGAATTACAAATACTTGGGTTGATAAGAAATTTTACACAATGAAAGTTAGACTTTTACTTTAAGGCACTTTATTCAGTAACACAGAGATATCACACCCTCTGCCACAGAGAAGGGAAGATGACAAGGAAAGTCTTGATTTTTGAATACTTATAAACATTCTAGCCGATAATACAGAAATACAAGTCATCCAATCCTGACACAAGAAAAACACATGCACACAGTTTGCAACCACTCAAAACTTACAAGCTTGCAAGAGATAACCCTCCACCCCGCTCCCCTGAAGATGACAGGTTAGTATAAAGGTTTTTGCAAACATGCATGTTGCTTTCTCTAGCAGTTGAAATGTTAACTAAAGCAGTCTTTTCACATGCAGGGTTAGTACTGGCACAAGAAGCTCACTTTGTCTCATAAAATTCGAGCATAGAACAGCCAAAACAAATAATTAATGGGCAATGCATAAATTATAAATAGGCTCAAAGGACAAAACATACAAACAGAACAGTTACAGCAATAGAATATAAATGGAATTTAACAAAAAGAAGGGATTCAAAATAAAAATATGCAGAGGTGAACCAACTACTTATTTGTAACCAGGCGATAAATGAGAAAATATGGAGTAAACCCAGCAGCAACTTACATAGTTAGTCTGGCTGAAAAAAGACAAAAGTCCATGCAGTTCAACCATAAAAAAAAAAAAAGAAAAAAAATTATATTCCTACACCCACAGTTGATCCAGAGGAAGGCAAAACACCCAGCAAAGCATGATCCAATTTTCTCCTGCAGGGGAAAAAATTCCTTATTCTTTCCTGATCCCCTGAAAGGAAATTGGATATTCCCTGGATCAACTTTACGTATAAATGTTAGTATCCAGTTATATTCTGTGTATCCAAAAAAGAATCCAGGCCTTTTTTAAAGCAATCCACTGAGCTGGCCAGAACCAACTCTTGAGGGAGTCTATTCCACATTTTTACAGCTCTTACTGTGTAGAAACCTTTCTGTATTTGGAGATTACATTTCTTTTTCTCCAGACATAAAGAGTGCCCCCTTGTCTTCTGTGATGACCTCAGGGTGAATAGCTCTACACCGAGTTCACTATATGAACCACTGATGTATTTATACATGTTGATCATATCCCCCCTTAATCTCCTCTTCTCAAGAGAGAATAAATTCAGTTCACCTTCATCTTTCCTCATGGCTGAGCTATTCCATGCCTCTTATCAGTTTGGTTGCCCTTCTGTGTACTTTTTCCAGTTCCCCAATGTTTTTTTGTGAATTGGTGCCCAAAACTGAACTGCATATTCCAGATGAGGTGTTACTAATGATTTGTACAGGGGTAATATGATATCTCTCTCTGGAGTCTATACCTCTTTTAATACAAGAGAGAATTTTGCTCGCTTTAGAAACTGCAGCTTGGCATTGCATGCCATTATTAAGCTTGCGATCTACCAGAACTCCCAGATCCTTCTCCACCATTGATTCCCCCAGTTGACCCCCCCCCTAGTATGTATGATGCATGTATATTCTTAGCCCCCAAGTGTATAACCTTACATTTATCAACATTAAACCTCATTTGCCACATAGTTGCCCAATTACACAGTGCATTGAGGTTGGCTTGTAAATTGGAAACATCCTGTAAGGACGTTATTCCACTGCACAGCTTGGTGTCATCTGCAGAGACTGAAATGGTATTTATAATCCCAGACCCTATATCATTTATAAATATATTAAAAAGTAAGGGTCCCAACACTGAACCTGGGGTACACCACTGACAACCCTATACCTTTCAGAGTATGAAACAGTAACCACTACTCTCTGAATACGATCTTTTATCCATTAACATATGGATTTTTCCAAGCCTGTAGACTTTACCTTACACATTAGCCATGTGTGGGGAACTGTGTCAAATGCTTTTGCAAAATCCAAGTATAACTGGATCTCAAATTTTTTTAACTACTAAATTTTAGGCATCAAACTTTATGGCCTCATGCAAATTGGGTGTTCAGCCCCTGTACTGAACGATCTTATCGCTTAGAGCTGTATGCATGCACAGAGAGGCATTCTAGCATATGGCCCTTACCGTTAGAACCACTTGGTACAGTGTCCAGCTCTATCCAGCCGCTGAAATTTTCAGCTTTTTATAGACTTGTACAAGCTGCTGGTAGTGGGGCTGGATAGTGCACCGTACCTTTCGGCTTCATGAAAATGTCAGAATCTAAGACAGTGGTCAAACACCCAATGTGCATGACGTCTGTACTGTTTTGGATCAAATTAACGTAGTAGGCCCCAGTCTCCTTCCAATCAGCAATCAGGAGTTGTTGACTGCATACAAAACTCATTTCCATAGGAAGAGTTAGACTTTGGGAAAAGCTTTAAACCCACATCACTGGGCAGGAGTACTTCATATTAATATGTAATTATGCTCATCAGTTGTGGAGCTTTTTTCTTTTATTGTCACCTAGTGATCCTGCCAATAATGTACTTCCTGTCTTAGGGTTAAACATTCATTCACTTATTGCATCTATGGAGAAACAACATCGTAACCTTAGGAAAGGAAATGTAATATAACTATGGGGCACCTTCCTCATCTCCACAACAAAGGCGGAAGATGTTCTGTAGTTCACAGAGTCAACCTGGGCAGAAAGATAAGACTGCTTTAGATAACACTGCAGAGGGCACAGGACAGCACCTCTGTTTTTTTAACTTGTTAAAGAGATATACAGTCATGGCCAAAAATAATGGCACCCCTGCATTTCTGTCAATTAATGCACCATGTCACCCAGAAAACTGTTGCAATTACAAATGTTTAGGCATTCTCATGTTTTTCTTTCGTGTGTATTCGTATGACACAAAAACAAGTGGAGAAACAAAAAGCCAAATCTGACACATTTCACGCAAACCCCCAAAAATTGACTGGTCAAAATGATTGGTACCATCAATTTAATATTTGGTAGCACACCCTTGGAAAAAATAACTGAAATCAGTGGCTTCCTGTAACCATCAATAAGTTTCTTACACCTTTCTACTGGAATTTTGGAATACTCTTCTTTCACCAACTGCTTCAGGTCTCTCAGATGGAAAGGGTTCCTTTTCCCAACTGCTCTTTTGAGATCTCTCCACAGGTACTCTATGGGATTGAGATCTGGACTTACTGCTGGCCAGTTCAGTACTCTCCAGCGCTTTGTTTGAAACCATTTCTTGGTGCTTTTTTGACATGTACTTTGGGTCATTGTGCTGCTGTAAGACCCATGACCCTGACAGAGACCCAAGTTTCTGACACTGGGCCTTACATTGCACACCAGAATTCTTTGGTAGTCTTCAGATTTTAGATTGCCATGCGCACGGTCAAGACATCCAGTGCCTGAAGCAGCAAAGCAACCCAAAAACATCAGTAAACCTCCACCGTGTATGACTGTAGGGATTGTTCTTTTCTTTAAAGGCTTCACTGCTTTTTCTGAAAACAGTAGAATGATGGTCTTTACCAAAAAGCTGTCATTTTGTTTCGTCTGTCCACAGCACATTCTCCCAAAAGGATTTTGACTTCTTCAGGTAAGTTTTGGCAATCTCCAATCTGGCTTTTTTATGTTTGTGTGTCAGCAGTGGGGTCCTCCTGGGTCTCCTACCACAGCGTCCCTTTTCATTCAGACTGTGATGTATAGTGCGAGCTGACACAGTTGTATCCTGTGCCTGAAGGTCAGCTTGAATTTGTCTGGAAGTTGATTGAGGTTCTTTAGCCACCATTCAAACAATCCTTTGTTGCAATCTTTGATCAAGTTTTTCTCTTTCATCCACATTCAGGGAGATTAGCTACACTGCCATAGGCTGTAAACTTATTGACAAGGTTGCACACAGTGGATACAGGAATATTAAGATTTCTGGAGATGGACTTGTAACCTTGAGATTGTCCACGCCTTTCCAGCCTTTCCACAATTTTTGTTCTCAAACTCTCAGACAGCACCTGTTAATTGATACAGGTGAGTTTATTACAAATTACAGGAGCATCACAAACTTGGAATGCAATTATTTCTTCTAATTTTGAGAAGGTGGCAATAATTTTGTCTAGTCCATTTTCGGGGTTTGCATGGAATGTGTCAGATTTGGCTTTTTGTTTCTCCATTTTTATGTCATACCCAATACAAACAAAAGAAATAAACATGGGAATGTCTAAACATTTGTAATTGCAACAATTTTCTAGGCAAAGTGGTGCTATATCTGACAGTAATGCAGGTGTGCCAATATTTTTAGCCATGACTATAATATGTTGTATAATGCTTTCAACAGAAGAAGGAAACAAGCTGCCACACAGCGATGACATAACATAGATCCTGGTTTATTAAATGTAGAGTACTCCAAAGTATGGGCTCTGTTAGGTGAAATGCGTTAGTAGGAGGTCCCATGGGTGGGGACTATTACTGTGGTTGGTGGAGCTAATTAACCAGGGTCTATGAGATGTCATTGGTGTACAGCGGCTTGTTTCTTTCTTTCTTCCTGTGTGTTTGAAGCATGGACAGCTTCATATGTACCCTGTGCCCGGCACTTGATGAAGTCATCACACACCTAATACATAATGCTTTCAATGGTATAATTTAAAGGTCATAGGTTAGTTAATAAAAAAAGTTCATTGTTAGGTTTTAAATACACTCTAAGTTCGTTTAAATACAAGATAACGGGTGTGGTCACATGATGACCACTGTGCTCCAACTTCATAAAATTGTGATGTGTTAGTGCCGTTCTATGCAGCCCAATGGGAAGGCCCACAGGGAACACAAGCTGTATAATTATGCTCATGTCCAAGGGATAAGTTAAGAATGTAGAACAGCAGTATCGGTCTGCTTTCTGGGAGGCTGGCTATCCATGACATTGTCAATTAGGGATACAGCGATGAGGACATGCATGGCTCACACAGACTTATAATACTCTAACAAGACACTCCAGCCATTCATGCATGTGTCTGAGTTGCTAAACTGAAGGTGCCACCCTGGGCCCACTATTATGTATGTTTAGTTGCCTCCTACTTACCACAATCCCATTCATCAGAACTATCAGTACAATCCACTCGACCATCACACCACTGGTCACGTGATACACACTTATGGTTTGCACATTCCAGTTCATTATGTGTGCAGGAGGCTGTAGAATGAATAGGAAATAATGAACATGCTTCACGGTCATGTGTCCTTACCGGTCCTCTTTAATAGAAAAACTGTAAACAACTTACAACAATTAGTCTCTTCTAGCTGTTCGGGGCAGTCTGGAAAGCCATCGCAGATCATGGAATACTTGATACATGTCTTGCTTCCCGGACACTCCCAGAGTCCTCTCTCCATGCAGCCTTCCAGGGTAAGAACAATATTTAGGACTCACAGGTTTCCAATAACAATCAAACATTTTCAATAACCTAGTAGCAGCACAGAGGGGTCCAGACTTTACACAACCTGCATTTCTTTTGTATCATATGGATTCTTAAAAAAAAGCTTAAAAAATTGATTGTTCTACTCAGTTTTAATATGATTTGCTCACCTAGCTCTGACATGAAGAACAGACTGAGGGAGAAGGTGACATTGCAGCCAGGACATGGAGAGAGCCAATCTCTAACACAAGAGAATGGCTCTGTATGACAATAGTAAGGTCTAATGCACACAGGCATACAACATGATGCTTTTACAGGCATTCAGCATTTTATTTGCCTTTAAAGTGTTACTAAACCCACAACAGTAAAAGCAGTCTGTATATGCAGTAAAGCATGCTTGTTATACTCACTGTGCAACCTAAGGGGTTAATCCTCTGCATTGTGTAAAAAGGATGTTTAATCCTGATTTTTCTGATCCTACCCTTCTCCTACTGTCCCCAATCCATCTTCTGATAAAACAGAGCCAAAGCATACAGTTTTTTTTTTTCTTGAGAGAGTGCATGTGATCAGCATAAGGCCAATCAAGACAGTCCAGACAGAGGGTCACGGGTTCTGCAGTCTCATAGGACAATCAAGATAGAATGAAAACTTCTCCTACAAGCTTTAATCAGTGCTATGCTGGACACTGATAGAAGTCACAAGACTGCTCTAACTGCTGATGAGAAAAGGTATTTAGCGGTTTATATTTACTAAAATAACTCCATTTCCATGTACTGTGTACTGTGGGAGACCAGATATAGTGAATGCAGGGTCCTGGGTTTAGTAACATTTTAAGTGTAATTTGATGTTAGCCTATGTGGTCATGCATATTAGGCATTTAGTTCCATATTATAGAGCAGTGTTTAGAGTTATATAAAAATGCCCCAAAGCTGTGTTCAGAGATGGCCCTCATAAGCATAATTTATTTGCATACGAGTGTAAACACATTTATCATGAATTCAAGTGGGCAGATTAAGAGGAAAAGGGGAGGTTCCGCCTTCTGGCCCCCCCCACCACAACCACCTTTAGACAGATTTTTTTTTGGTACCTGGTTTGGACAGGTATCCGCTCCCACTTCACTCCCCCTTTGCCCACAGTCTTCTCTCAGGTCCCAGAAGGCTACAGGACCATTCACAAAGCACCATGTGGCTTGCACATGCGCAGTGGGAAGCTGGCTGTGAAGCAACAAATAGTTACAGCAGGCTTCCCTTAGTAAACATGCTGGCACCAGGGACCCAAAGACCGGCAAAGAACAGGCCCCGATGAGGGCAGGGCTGGATCCCTGGACAGGTGTCTATTAAAAGTCAGCAACTACAGTATTTGTAGCTGCTGACTTAATTTTTGGGGTTAGACTGAAGATTCTCTTTATTATACTAGCCAGTAGTCTACGCTTAACGACATACACCTGTAAACGTGCATAATTACGCATCAAAACAAGCATTTTTTAAGTTTGATTTTCCACCTGGCAGAAAGAAACAGAGTAGATAGGGAGTATTTTGACATGCCAATGTGCATACGGCCTAATCCAATGCTTAGCTGTGATATGAAGGGAGCAGACAGCTCCCTTCAGCTTGGCAATACAACATAGACTAACAAGGGCCTGGTGCCAATTCTAGACTGCTCCCTAGGTTACTGGTAAAACCTATACAGAACACACCAGTGGAGAGGATGCATAAGTTTGTACATGGTTGACAGTAAAACTTCTGATTAATGGCACAGTGATACTGCCTTGTACATCTGTTGTGTTTGCCCATACCATCTCTGACAAAATGGGACCAAGTGCAGGGATGCATAGGGCAGCATCATAATGCTTCTACAAAGTAGTTCTTTATCAAATGATTTTGTGCTGGGCAACCTCAATCTCATGCTACAATGTTTGTAGGCAAAGCTTTAGTGGGATTAGAGGGCTATGCTGGAACCATAAAACACATTGACCAGCGTTTTCACTTGCTCAGATATAGGGATATTCACAAAATTAGTACACCAGCAATTCGAGGGATTTAGTTAGAAGTACAGCCAGGAGCAGAGAGGATAAATGCCAGGGTGATCAATGTAGCGATTCAGCATGTTGACTATGCCACACCAATAGATCTCTATTTTTTTCCTCATTGTAAATACTCTTTTTTTGATTCAAGTGTATGACTGAATTAATAAATAATACATATTAACCTTTAAAACATATATGGAATTTCAGTGACATTGTAAATGGATGAATGCAACCAAGGCACCTGGCTGCATTTACTAGTGATGAAATATTTTTAGGTGGATGCTTTTTCGCTTTAAGGACATCATAATAAGTGTAATAGAAATAGATTGCAATCTAGCCGAATCCTTTTATGGTAATAGAGACATGACCGGCTTGGATAAAGAGATGTTCGTCTTTCTTGCATACATGGCATATGAATGAGACCTTGAGCTGTGAGGAGCAGACAGTTCCTCTGCGGCACGTTTAGCCGCGGTCACACAAATGTCACGCTGACACTGGTAATTTTCCAGCTGTTGCACTGCCTTCCAGATTTATAGAAATTGATAAGAATTGACTGGAGAAGGGAAGCAAGACACGGCTTTCAAAACAAATTTGATTATCTTCTTAACAGCGAGTTTTATCCAGAATTCTGCAAATAAAAGCATTACATTTCTATGCTATGTGGTCTGCATTAGAATAAAAATTACAGCAAATGGCATGTAACAAATATGTAACAGCTTTGTTCAGAATTTCACTTTGTTCAAGATTTTGTGAGCACCTTAGATTCCTGTGGAAAGCACTGTATCAACAGATAAAAATATTTTTACATACAGTGTAAAAAGCCATTTTTGGCTTTCACATAATACCAACATATCCAAAAAAAATCAGCTGAGTGTAAAAAGTCAATTTTAATTAAGCATACCATAGAGGTATAATAGGAAGCAGGTAAAGTGAACTCTACATGAGAAAATGGGGGATGTCACTGCAAACTTTCTTTTGAAAATGTTAGGTACTTGCCTATTATGTTGACTCACTGGCGTGAATACATTCTGAGCCACTGGCCTGGAACAGGCCTGCAAAGCCAGGGTTAGGTTATGAGTCTTTATTTACATTTTGCTCTGGGCTGAAGACTCCAAGTATTGAAACAAGAGGCCCAGTACTAGAGTCAGACAATTAGCATGTCCAGATGAAGTCAGCATTGACAGCTTCTGAGTTTCTTCCTCTAGGATTTACCTACAATTATATTGACACACACAAAGCCTGATGCCTACTAAAGGACTGACTGACATTCATTAGCATAAGTACAACTCCTATTCATTTTAATGGTAAATTCAAAATGTCATTGTGACGGACAGCAGAAATATTAATTTATTTTTGTGTTGTTATGTTGAGCTCCACTGAACTGTGTGGCCAACAGTCAGCCTGTCTGCTCTTTGAAGCTAGGAGGTCCTGTGCCCCACAGGGGGTGGGAGATGAGGTTGATCTCAGTGGTGGGGGGGGGGGGGGGGGGGCAGACAGCATGGTGTCCTGTGGCTGTGAAAAGCCAGACGTGTCGGCACCGGGGCTTGGTCAAATTGGAAGGACCATAATGTCCCTATGGGGGGAGAATGGGCAGAGTTTGAGTCAGGATGGAGAGAGCAGCTCATGGCTGCAGGCTTTGCTAGAAGATGCATTGAGCTGTGCTTTATTTTGTGCACTGCTGGGACTTGTGGTTCTACATTGCCTGTGTGATCTTGAAGCTGCTGCCAAGACACAGCCCTCTGAAGACCCATGAGGAGTTGGTGCCTATCTGCCTAGACTTCCTCTGCTGAGGCCATTGCTGGCTAGTGAGTCCCTGAATTGCTACCCTGTGCTCTGCCTGTCTGCTGTGTGCCATCCCAACCTGGACTTAATCCTTGCCTGCCCGAGTTCTGCCGCCCTGTTGTGTGCCACTAGGACTTAACCCATTGTCTGCCAGTCGTTCTTCTGCTGTGTGCCCAGACTTAACCCTTCCCTGCCAGAGTCTGCCTTCTGATGTGTGTCCCCTGGACTTAACCATTGTCTGCCAAAACTGCCCTTCTGCTGTGTGCCCCTGGACTTAATCTTTGCCTGCCAGAACTGCCTCCATTAATCACCCATATAAACAACCCAACATGTTTCACCACATTCACGGCTTCTTCAGGGGTGCAGTATGTACTAGTAAAGTACTCAGTGCTCTGATGCACTTGTAACACAAACAATAAACAGAAGTAGAAAGCTAAACATTTTTATTGGTTGTGTAACATTTACAAAATATATGATCAATGAGCGGCTTTACAAGCTAATTAGTGATGCATGTGACATTCATTACACTAGATTTAATTATTTCTATTCTTTTTTAGGGGGAAAATGTGGAATATTATATTGTTGTGTGTGAAGGAGGGTAAGCGGGACAGAACACACAAGGCAAAAACTTAAAGTTTTATTAAAACAGACAACAGTCACTCAATGGGGAGTAGTGCAGGGAGAGAGAGTCCAAAATACTTGTAATCCAGCCCCAGAGGGCAAAGTTAAAGGCTCTACAGCAATTTGTAATCCAAGAGGCAGTTCATAAGCAGTCAGATAGCACAAGGGGAGCATACACTCACGCAAAGCTGATGCGATAGTCTCAGGCAGAGCTGACAGCATTCCAGGCAGGGCTGATGTAGCTTCTGGGATCCCCCTTCCTCCAATGGGGCTCAGGCAGAGCCGGAGGGCCACTAGAGTCCAGCTGGACCCCTCAGTGGTTGCCCAGCAGAATGGCACAACAAGAGAGACCAGCACTGACCTCTTAAACCCTCTGAGCAGGAAGAGAGGCGGAGGGGGGTCATTAGCAGGTGACAATGACGAGAATAGAACTACAGTAATTTAATTTGTAGCTGTACACAGAAAGGACTGGTTGGGCAGGATAATTAATGGGGGGAAATACATTAATACAAAAGTAAGGCACTTATTAGGAATGTTTACACTAATTGAATTTGGGACCTTTTGTTGAGGGGCGAGTTAATTACAGCTAGGGGTCTTTGGCACACAGGAGTAAATACTAATTGGAGGAAGCATATCGTGACATTGTGTATATACTGTAAATGTCCTATATATGCAATTGTATTGGCTGAAGTGATAAGGTTCCTATGAAGAAGTAGTCAAATAGTTTTTGAGCATAAGCCTTTAGCAAGTTAAATTTTACCAGTTACTTTATTACTTTTTTATTGTGTAAACTGTGCTTGCTGAGGAAAGCTTTGGTTACCAAATGAGCTGCTGTGGAGAAGGACAACAAAGCAGAGATGTTGCCCAAAGCACCCATTCATGCCTCCATCTCCACCTCCACCGAGATAAAAGGATCTGTATAACACTTTACATTTTACTTCTGCTCAGATGTATAGCTCTACTATCACTGGCAAATGCTGTGCTTAGGAGTATAGATCCACTATCACCCACAAACACACAGCACAACTGTACAACCAAGGCTAAAGGTATGCTAATGAGTATAGCTCCACTACCACTGGCAAATGCTGTGCTCAGGAGTATAGATATACTACCACATGCAAATGCTGTTCCCAGGCATATGCAGTAGCTCCACTACCATGGTGAGCGTGAGTATAGATCCACTACCACAGGCAAAAGCTGTGCTAAGTCATATTATAGCACTACTACAGCTAGCAAATGCTGTGCTCGGCTGTATAGCTCCAATACCACAGTGCTCAGGAGTATCCATTCACTACCACAAGCATATGCTGTGCTCAGTTACATACGTAGCCCCACTATGACAGTGCTCAGGAGTACAGATTGACTACCACAAATACTGTGTTCAGTCATAAACCTCCATTACCACAGTGCTCAGGAGTACAGATTGACTACCACAACAAACGCTATGTTCAGTCATATAGCCTCATTAGTATAGATCCACTACCATGGTGTTTAGGAGCATATGTCCACTACCACAGTGCTCAGGAGTATAGATCCACTACCATGGTGTTTAGGAGCATATGTCCACTACCACAGTGCTCAGGAGTATAGATCCAGTACCACGGTGTTTAGGAGTATAGGTCCGCTACCATGTTGTTTAGGAATATAGATCCACTACCATGGTGTTTAGGAGTATATATCCACTACCTTGGTGTTTAGGAGTATAGATCCACTACCATGGTGTTTAGGAGCATAGGTCCACTACCACAGTGCTCAGGAGTATAGATCCACTAGCATGGTGTTTAGGAGTATAGATCCACTACCATGGTGTTTAGGAGTATAGATCCACTACCATGGTGCTCAGGAGTATAGATGCACTACCGTGGTGTTTAGGAGTATAGATGCACTACCGTGGTGCTTAGGAGTATAGATCCACTATCATGGTGTTTGAGAGTATATATCCACTACCATGGTGCTCAGGAGTATAGATGCACTACTGTGGTGTTTAGGAGTATAGATCCACTACCATGGTGTTTAGGAGTATAGATCCACTACCATGCTGCTCAGGAGTATAGATGCACTACCGTGGTGTTTAGGAGTATAGATCCACTATCATGGTGTTTGAGAGTATATATCCACTACTATGGTGTTTAGTACTATAGATCCTCTACCATGGTGCTCAGGAGTATAGATGCACTACCATGGTGTTTAGGAGTATATATCAACTACTATGGTGTTTAGGAGTATAGATCCTCTATCACCAGCAAATGGTCAGGTGTATAGTTCTACTACCAAAGGCAAATGGTGTGCTTAGGAGTATAGTTTTACTACCACAGACACATGTAGCAGAGTTGTTGTATGTAACATGTATGACAGTACATATTATGTGATGTGAGCCTTGTATACTGAAACATCCCTTATCACAATAAGTCTATTTTTGCAGTCATGTGCCCAAATACGGTCCATGTAGTCAGGCTCTTACATACCGCAGTTTGCTTCATCGCTGTCATCTTCGCAGTCTGCCTCTCCATCACATCTCCTGGATGCCAAGATACAGCGGCCAGAGAGGCACTTGAAATGACTGGGTGAGCATTCTGAAGGAACACAAGATAAGATTAAACCACAAGGAGTATTGCTATTTTTGAAACATTCCAGCTGTGTCACTGTAGCAACTCAATTTCCCTGTTTACACTACTCATTAAAGTTTAGCATATAAGGATAATAAATATGATTTAGGAAGCTGATTACTTTGCTTCCCTGCCTCCACAAACAGTGTCACTAAGGAAACCAGCAAAAAATGAGAGGGTGTTGTGTCCTTAGCAACTAGTTAAGATTCCATTTATTGTTGATCCAAAACTGGTTAGGAAAAAGGGTCTAGCACATGAGTAACTTCTTACAGTACCTTTCTGATATCTGCTGAATGTTTTGGGCATCTCAAAATCACTTTAGTCTGAATGGCTCAATACACACTTGCTTTACACAGAATCATTTAAAAAAAAACATTTCCCATGCCTTGCAGACAATTACTGACAAAGGTATATGCAATGATATTTACATGTCCAACTTTACCTATAGGCATAAGTAAAGTGAATCTATACAGAAACCTTTTATTTATAGTTTGGGAGAGAGTAGAGGATGGCTAGAACCCCTGTCAGGTCTTTTCTTGCTGTCTGTGGTCCCAGTTTTCATTACTTGGATGGGGAAAGACTAGAAGATCTGTAAACTTATTAGTAACAAAAGGAAATGGCTGCACACTCTGCTATATCATAATGATTTATTGAATAGAAATCATGGAAAATACAAAGCACACACCAGGAGAGATGTTGACGTGTTTCACGCTTCTTTAGCTCTTATTCAAAAAATCAGTTGTTGTTAAGAATAAGCGCTAAAGAAGCATGAAAAGCGTCAACATCTCTCCTGGTTGTGCAGTTTACCTTGTGTGATTTGTATTTTCCATGATTTCTATTCAATAAACCATCATGATATAGCGGAGTGTGCAGCCATTTCCATTTGTTACTGCAGACGAGAAGGGCGAGCACCTCTGTTACTGGAGCGTGAAGTGGATCCTGCTACACAGACTTGGAGTGGGGTCTGTCTTTTGTGGTTTCTCTGTTAACTTATTACTGATGTCTGTGTTCCTACTAAGGAATTTCCCTTAATTTATAGCACAGTAATTACATTGTAACCAGAACAGGTAGGGAAGGGGCTAGTCTATTGATGGGACACAGACCCTTCCAAACAAACAAAAAATTAGATTAATTTATTGATACTAACGAGATTTATGGTACACATTGTATACACTATGCATGCGTCACTTGTTAATTACATTTCCTCATCTTGTTTATATCAGTATTGCATTGGAAACCATACATCTTTAAGCTGAGTGCTGTACCCTTTCTAAAATGGGAATTTTTGCACCTATGTATACGTATCGATGGTATTGGTAGGCAGAAAAAGCTATAAATTGGGCAATTGATTTTAGTATGGCAGCACTGCATAACAATGAGTTCATTACTCGACATTCTTTTGCTTTGTTCTAACACAATATGGCAGACAGAAAAATCACCCAAATGCATACCACCCCCAATATTTGAGAATTAAAATGTACCTTCTACATCCTCATCAGGCATAAGACACGTCTGATTATCTGTCTTCTCATCGGGAAACTGACTGCAGTCTGTGTCCTCAGGCCATTGTAGTCCAACAATACCCAGTACAGATTCACATCGCTCTTTCGAATGCTCACAGAGTGATCTGGGAAGGCATTATTCAGACGCACATTGAGCATTTACATTTCATCATAACACTAGCCTGTGTAAAAACATTTTATGTAATGTGGTTATTGCAAGTTTCTCCATTCATTATTTAAAGAACTTTTCATAAAGAAAGTGAGAAACCTCTGTATTTGTGTTGTGATGTGGCAGGTGTCTCTTCATTACAGATTGATCAACTGCCCCTCTTGTGTAAATCATTCTTGTAGCTACTTGATGTTTGTGGCTCAGTGCAGTTGTGTCCTCAGATACAGTGCCTTGAAAAAGTATTCATACCCCTTGAAATTTTCCACATTTTGTCATGTTACAACCACAAAACGTAAATGTATTTTATTGGGATTTTATGTAATAGACCGACACAAAGTGGCACATTATTGTGAAGTGGAAGGAAAATGATAAATAGTTTTAACATTTGTTTACAAATAAATATCTGAAAAGTGTGGTGTGCATTTGTATTCAGCCCCCCTGAGTCAATACTTTGTAGAACCACCTTTCACTGCAATTACAGCTGCAAGTTTTTTTTGGGGGGATGTCTCTACTAGCTATACACATCTAGAGAGTCACATTTTTGCCCATTCTTCTTTGCAAAATAGCAACATGTTGTAATATGACAAAATGTGGAAAATTTCAAGGGGTATGAATACTTCTTCAAGGCACTGTACCCATTGCCTCCAATGAACCTCACATATGCTCATTAGCAATGAGTCAACCTGGCTAGGTTCACTGAAGCCAGGCTGAAGTCCACAAACCCCAAACTTAGTGCCAAATCCCAAACCTATGGTAGCCAAATCTAATTAGTTTTTCTGACCATTTTCAAGACTAACAAGCTATTGTTACAAAAAGGGCATGAGGAGCTGGGAACTGCCATTGGGCACATGCACCCAAAATGTATTTTTTTAATAATATTGTTAAAGTGGTTTTAGGGGCAACATTGAAAACAAACAAATCCCTTAAATAATATGCTTGCTGGATGTCTTTAAGCTGTATGTTGCATTATGGAACAGTACAATATTGTTCTGTAGAAGTGACAGCACAAAACGGTGGTGGGAGGGGGAGGGCGGCATGGGTTTGCCCCTAAAATTTCATATTGGACCCTTATCCACGCATGCAGCTTCAGAAGTAAGGAAAAGGAGAGTGGTGAGTATGTGGCCTTTCTTTCCTGTACCAGACTAGGCCACATACCTAAACATTGGGGGTATATTTCTAGGGTAGGGTGGCAAAGCCTCTCCCATTTGCAAGGCACCCTGTCCCAATATTGAGGAACTCTACCTCGCATCCAATGCCCAAAGAAGGAAAAAGGGGGTAATATGGGATGAACTTAATGGAATTGGGAATCCCCCTTTATCTGGAATATCCTGCCCCTGTTTTACCTGGCCAACACGACAGCATGCCCAGATAAGGATCTAGGTGGACTACTACAGGGAAACCCACACCAAATGTTTCATGTTTTTTTAAGTGAAAGTACACCAACAATAGTTGTATTAATTAACTAGTTGTATTAATTAATTTGTAATTAGGGAGGGATAAATCTCTGTCAGATTTTAATTTTTTTGGGAACACAGACAGCAATTTGAAACATTTTGACTGGGTTGGGTTATGTAATAGGGTGGGTGTGGGACAGAGGTGCCATGCTTGTGTCACCTGGTACTGCACTGCCTAACATTCCTGTCTTTTACATGTAGCATACCTGAAAACATTTACAAGGTAGCATCAGGCAAAACTCTAACATTTTCTGTAGTATATATTCACTCATCTCATGCCAATCTTATTTGACAGTGTTCGCTAGTTTAATTAAATTGGGGGAATCACACAAAAGAAAGCTGAAGGAATTTTATCAAAAGATGTTAAAGCAAACCTAGGGCACATTTAAAGATTTTAATTTACCCTTCTGTACTCTAGTGGACACCATTTCATATCAACATACAGTTTTAGCTTATTTCTGGAGCAAAATACAAACCCAAAAACCTGGGTGTCCTGTTATGCAAACTCTGAGCAGGGCTTAAAAAATGGAGTTCTAGCTCAATCAGATGATAGCAAAATGCGCAAAGAGTGTGTTCTAGGATGTATCACTAGAGGGATCACTAGCAGGAGGAAGTCCTAATTCCACTATAGGTAGACCTCATTTAGAATACTATGTCCAGTTCTGGAGAACTCACAAAAAGCTATGAATAATTTACATAGATTGAGTCCAGAGACAGGTAACAAAAATGGTAAAAGGGAGGGAATAAAGTTCAGGAGGGCAGAAATCAAGAACATGGTACCTCAAACTAGCAAGAGGAAAATTCAGAATGCATCTTAGAAAGTATTATTCTACTGAAAGAGTAGTTGACTTAGAACTAGTTGGAAAAGAGCTTGGAATAGCCTTCCAGCACAGGTAATGAGTCATTCAAAGTTAAGTGGATTCAAACACGATTGGGACAAACACAGATCTATTAAAAAAAAAAAGCTTAAATACAAAAAAAAAAATGGGATAGGGTCAATGGACCACTTGGCCTTTTTCTGCTGTCACTCTTCTCTGTTTCTACCCCCTCCTATCCCATGCACTGATTTTGACTAGTCATAGCAGCACCTTAATGTCTTTGCTAGTTTCATTCTCAACCCCTTGGTGTTCAGCGTATGCAAATATGTGGCAGCACTGGACTGGGCTTTTTTCCATGGGGCCACATATTTGCATATCTGTCTGCACTCCCAGCACAGAGACCAAGGTCTCACCAAGCGCCCCAGGACCTGTATTAACAATTGGGACCCGGAACTCTGATTGGCTATCACAGTGATCAGTCACTGGGAAGGCCACTCCCGGTTTTCTCTCTGAATGGAGGAGAGAGATGCATTGTGTAAAAAACAACAACTGTGTTAAAATTAATAAAATAAATAAAATATTATTAGTAACAATAAAAAAAAATAAAATAAATAACTAGATCAGGGTTTGATCTAGGTCACTGCCAGGGTTAGTATTTGGGTCAAGGTCAGGGTCAGTATTTTTCTGGGCAGGATTTAATTTATTTATTTTTTTTAATTAGTATCAGTGCCAGTCAGTGTCAGTGTGTTTTAGGTAAAAAAAAAGCAAAATGCGCACTATTGTTTCTGGGATGTACTACGAGTACAAACAACAATTAACATACATATATGTGGCATCTCTGCGATTGTCAGGAGCAGGAGAATTTATTTTGGGTTGGTCTTTGGTGGTAGGTTATGGCAGTAGCAAGCATTATACAGCTAACTTTTTGTTTTTACTATTTTGGGCCAGTTTTTTTAAACTAGTAAAAAAAATTATAAAAATAAAAAAAACAAGAGATATTTATTACCATTTACCACAAAAAGAAAGTCCAATTTGTCCTGAAAAAAAAAAGGTATAATCCACCTGGATGCACAAAGTAGTTGTGATAATATCTACCATTCTAACACATGTCAAAGTTGCAAAATTGTACTTAGGCATAACATTTGTTTTGCCTTCAGGCACGAAGGGGTTAATGGAAGGTGTCTCATAACATGAAGTAATAAAAGAATCTATATTGCCCAAAATATTAGATACAATACATTTTTCAAGCACTGAAACATTATTGTTAAATTGCATTATCACCTGCAAGGCGGTATCCTCTGGTTTATCTCGAGTTCACACTTTGGTACCAGGATAGTGCAAGCAAAATACATAAGATACTTGTAGCAATTGGTCTGAACCAAGCTGGAAACAGAGAGGACTCCCAGCTTATGGAGGCTTCTTTCTGAGTCCTGTGGCCAAGGTAATTTGGGAAATGTGTATAATTATAGGGGAGATTCATACACAGCTCCAGAGTTATTGGTTCACATTGACCTAAAATTTTAGCAAAGTAAAAAAGAAAAGGAAAAAAAAAATGGTTTTGACATATATAATATAGTTCCAAAGGAAAAAATAATCAATCAACTTCACTAATACAGCACAAAAAATGTTTAGTTCCCAAATTCTTGTACAAAAAGGTTATTCTTAAGATTTTAATATATTGCTAGGCCTGTGCACTTCACTGTCACTTCTTCCCCGGGTCACAGCCAATTTCAACTTTGGCTGCTGAGGAGCAAGGAGATGTGAGGAGATTCAAGAAAGGCACTGAGTATATGGGTGTTGGGGATGGATTTTGTAAGAATGCTGCTATTTTGCCCTGAATTGGCAAGGTGAGAATGTCTCTTTACATTTAAAAAAATGCACCTTCAGGTGCACTGTCCTCACCTGTCATATCTTTCCTGTTCTAAACAAGTTTGTAATATATGACACATACTTGGAATGGAGATCCCCACAGATGTCCACACAGACTTAACTGTACTATTGACACACACCACTTGCAACCTGGACTGCTAAGACTATGTTGTTTGACCAAGAATGTGCATGGTCTGCAATTGGGCACTGGACATTTTTTTAAAGGTGACTTTGCTATGGGTATTTAAGTACTGGCATATTCTTAACAAGCAGTAAATCAGTTTTTTTAAACTCACTGGCCTCTGTACCTGCAGGCATTGTGGAGCAACTAATTCCCAAAACAGCAGATGCACTGAAGTTGGGTTCTAGAGTTAAAAAAGTTAATTTGTGTTTAGAAGGCTGCAAAGTCAATACAGACAGAAGGGAGACAGGGAGAAAATAAAGCTGACAAGAAACAGATGAGAACCTGACTTTAGTGCTTCTGCTGTGAACTTTCATTATGAATTGTTCCACAGCTACAGTGATCAGTGAAGGCTTGCTTGAAAGCTTATTTTCCACTTGAATATCCATATCCTAACCACAGCTTCACTTTACATTAGACTGCTTAGTGCTAGGTAGGCCACTTAATGAAGATCTGTACATCGGTCCATTTTTTATTGAAGAGAAACTCTTATCAATTTTAAATAAATCCTCTTTGATTGCATTGCCTCTCTTTAGAGGTAATTTATGTGGCAGACTATGCATGCCTGGATGTCACAATCTGGTATAGGAGTTTTCAGCAACCACTTTTTTCTGTCATCCAATCCACAATAGCAAACAGCAAAATGTAAAAAAGTGGGCGGAGTCACTCAAAACCCCAAAAACTGTGAAGAAGGGAAAGAAAGGTAATTCGGTATACAGTAAACACAGTAAGCAATTAGAAGTAGAAAATGTTTTAATGATGAACTTTTGCTATAATAATCCCCAGCCTCATATGCTTTAGAACAAAGTTTATTTGCGCTAGTCACAATTTGCAGATGCAGTGAATATGTGTAACTTCTAGGAAAGCCCCCTTTATGTTCTGTGTCACAGCTGTTTCTGCAGATGGTTCCAGTCCCTGGAGGAGGAAAGGTCCCAGGAACCATGTTATTTTCACGGCTGGAGATTTCTATCCTAAATCTGTACAACTGCTTTCTTTCATGAGTGACTCAGTACTCAGTGCTATTGCATAACTCAAGCGTGTGTAGTTTACAAGAGGGCAGTAAATCAAATGGTCAGGATCCATTTGTAAAAGAACGCAGAAGTGTCATTTAATACTTGCCTATTGGGAACAGGAAATGCCTATTTAACAGAAATATTGTTTTTATAACAAGAAGCAGTTTACCATCATATTTAAAGGAGTTCCCTCTGAACATTTATTAGCAATGTATTGGTAGTTTAGGAAAGTGAGAGGGTTAGATAATGTGGGGTCAAGCAAGAGGCAGAAAATGTTTTTTTTTTCTTATTACCATGTGAGTATACAGTTACATGAAACTGCCATTTTTATTAGCAACATTGAAAGTTCTTGCCTAGCCTCCCTGCAGGGAGTTCTTAGTTGTCGTTTTGGGCACCCTCTGACAGCATTATTCCAGGGAAAACATACCCCTACTGACAGGTGCCTACAGATATTAGATGGCAGTCTCCTGTTCTGGCATTTTGTTGAAAGGTACCTCATAAACACTAGATTGCCAAATGTATTGGGATGCCTACCTTTAGACGCACATGAACTTTACTGACATCTCAGTCTTAGTCCGTAGGGTTCAACATTGAGTTGGCCCACCCTTTGTAGCTATAACAGCTTCAACTCTTCTGGGAAGGCTGTCCACAAGGTTTAGGAGTGTGTCTATGGAAATGTTTGACCATTCTTCCAGAAGCACATTTGTGAGGTCAGGCACTGATGTCGGGGGAGGAGACCTGGCTCGCAGACTCTGCTCTAATTCATCCCAAAGGTGTTCTATTGGGTTGAGGTCAGGACACGACTGCAGGCTATTCAAGTTCCTCCACCCCAAACTCGCTCATCAATGTCTTTATGGACCTTGCTGTGTGCACTGGTGTGCAGTCGTGTTGGAACAGGAAGTGGACATTCCCAAACTGTTCTCACAAAGTTGGGAGCATGAAATTGTCCAACATTTCTTGGTATGCTGATGCCTTAAGAGTTCCCTTCACTAGAACAAAGGGACCAAGCCCAACCCCTGAAAAACAACCCCACACCATAATCCCCCCTCCACCAAACTTCACACTTGGCACAATGCAGGCAGCTGCCAAATCCAGACACATCCACTGGATTGCCAGACAGAGAAGTGTGATTCGTCACTCCAGAGAACACTTCTCCACTGTTCTAGAGTCCAGTGGTGGCGTGCTTTTACACCACTGCATCTGATGCTTTGCATTGCATTTGGTGATGTAAGGCTTGGATGCAGCTGCTCAGTCATGGAAACCCATTCCATGAAGCTCTCTACGCACTGTTGTGGTGCTAATCTGAAGGCCAGTCAGTCAGTTGGTGACGTCTGCACACTCTCCCCGTTGCCTACCACTTCGTGGGTGAGTTGCTGTTGTTCCCAGTCTTTCACTTTGTTATAATACCACTAACAGTTGTGTGTGGAATATTGAGTAACAAGGAAATTTCATGGATGGACTTATTGCACAGATGGCAACCTACCACGGTACCACGCTGGAATTCACTGAGCTCCTAGGAGCGACCCATTCTTTCACAAATGTTTGTAGAAGCAGTCTGCATGCCTAGGTGCTTGATTTTATATCACCTAGTTGCCGATCCTATATGACTGGATTTACTGGTTCAGAGGATGGAAACTGCAGGAGTCGCACAGTGACATATCTACTCCTTATGGAAAACATGCTATGAGGGTTGCAGCACCTATTCTTTGTATGTGTGGCTTGATTTTATCCACCTGTAGCTATGGAGGTGATTGGAACACCTGAATCCAATTATTTGGAGAGGTGTCCCAATACTTTTGGCGATATAGTGTATATGGAGCAGTGTAAGATACCTCATATGGGAGTTGTTGGGGAAACTAAAAGAATCAGGCAAGTTTCACAATCTTGCCTAATGCCTATATGTGGCTCCCCTTTTCCCTCTCCTGTGCTCTGATTAGGAAGACTCCAGTGAATGACATAATTAGACATCATTTGATATTTGGATCATACGTTCAAGTCTGATTAATCTGTACTGTCTTTGGCCACCTAACTCACATGTGAGTGTCAGCCAGCAGACCAAGCAAACTCATAACCCAGCTGTGTGGATAGGGCTATAATGGCTTAATCCATTAATGATGTTGCTATTAGAGTTAAATTACAGAAACAAAACCTGAGTTAAGGCACTTAATAAGTCATACTTTCTTATGTAATTTTGCAACTAAATACTTTAGGGAATTTGTATCGCTCCTTCTTTGGTGGTTAAATATTGTATTTTGCAATTTACTAAACGTTAAATTCTGAAAAGCCATCTATTTCTGAGGTAAAGTGCAGTGCGGCCCTCAGTAGAGATAATATGGCCTTCAATAGAGATAATGTAGTCCACTGGAGTCATAATATGGCCTTTTAGAAATGTAGTCCTTTCATTTTTGCCCACAATTTCACCTGAGTTTGACATGCCCAGGTTAAGGTGTCTTTGAATCTTGCCCTCTAATACAGCCTATTCTGTGGTTTAGGCATCTTAAGTAAAAAAATATATTTTTTTAATCTTCTAGATATGTTATGATTATGGTTATGTTCCGGTTGCAGGGTTGGGTTACAGTAGGTGCCAAATTGCAGTGAATCCCTTTAATAATATAGTTCCTTGCCCATGTTTCCACCTGGGACAGGAGAAAAGCCTTAAAGGACTACTGTAACTTTAATGCTTACCCTCACCCCAAGAAGCTGACCTGGTTCAATACTTACCTCTGTACCCATTCCATCTTCCAAAGATACACATGCCCTTTAAGTACTCAAGTGTAGGCATGGGTGTGCCCAGCACACAGAGAATAATGTTATTTCAACGACTGCCTCTAAAGAATAAACTTCACCACCGAGCAACAAGTAACCTTTCCTCTTTTGAATGAAGATTTGAAAGCATACATGGTTCTCTAATTAATCCAAAGTTCCTAATTAAACAATTTGTCTTCCTGCATCTTCTCTCCACCTCCTCAGTGGTGGACAGTGAATCAAAATCATTAACTTAGTCCAATCAACAAGGGAGCTGAACAAGGCAGCAATATACCTAAATTTGGTAGTAATAATAATACATAAGGAAGGAGAAGAGTAGCCTTAGAGACTAGAAAAAACAAACATATCAAAAGAGTGGCCTACCAAAATCAAAAATAATTTAGCAGGCAAAACAGTATAAATATATTTATTTCAATCCTGGATTTGTTGTTTGCCCTCAACTATACTTGAAGGTAATGGTAGTAAAATGAAATGTACATACTGCAGTTGGTTTTGTTTTGAGGTATTTCACAGTTTGTGTCATTGGTGCATGGTTCAGAGCAGCCTGCCAAAGCACACTTGGAATCACCATCTTGGCATGGGTGACCTGTGCAAAGAAAGTCCATTAATATACAGCATGCCGATACACCATACTGAATTTCAAGCAATATATAAAACACAGATTGTAGCTATACTATGCAAGGTGCAAATAAGTGGGTTCTCTCAGGGTCTTGAAATAATCTATGCAGAAGAAAAGAGCAGTTCATAATTAGCAAAGTTGAATAAAGGCACCATTCCATCCAATTCAAACTGAGTGTTTGTGTCTGTGTGTATGTAACTACCATTTTCAGTATCCCTGTACAATGTGTTTACAAAGAAATGTATCTAAAAGTTTTTAAAATTTATCTACACTCCCTGCTGATACCACCAACCGTGGAAGGGAGTTCCACATATGTGTCCTCTTTAGAGCTCTTACATAAATGTTTCCTTCCAATGCCAGAGTCACCATTCAAAGATTTGTATATTATGATCATATCCCCTCTTTATTCATCTCTTCTCCAGGGAGAATACATTTAATGTTTGTAGCTGTTTCTCATAATTCATATCCTCCAGCCCCCTTATTAGCTTTGTAGACACTGGACTCTTTCCAACCCTGGCACATCCTTCCTCAGGGATAGTGACTGAAACTGGACGGCATACTCAACATGAGGCCGAACCAGAGTTTTGTAAATTGGAAGAATTTTAGTTTTATCTCTTGAGTAGATACCATTTTTAAAGCATACTTATAATCTGCTGGCCTTGTTTGCTGCAGCTTGGCATTTGATGCTATTGATTAGTCTGTTATCTACTAGAACCCCCAGATCCCTTCTATCTTCGATTTCCCCAGAGGTTCTCCCTCTAGCAAGTAACTTGAATTCATATTTTTAGTTCCCAAGTGCAATACTTTAAATTTATCTACAATAAGCTTCATCTAACACTTAGCTGCCTACCCCTCTAGTTTAACTACACCTTTTTTTTTTTATAAAGTTGCTATATCCCACTGGAAATTATTTCCATGCTTAGCTTTTATTGTCAGCAAACACTGAAATTAAACTATTTATTCCAACCTCACTATTGTTTATGAACAAGTTGAACAGAACTGGTGCCAGGACAGAGCCCTGGGATACACTCACAACTCCAGCCCATTCAGAAAATATGCCATTAATCACTACCTTCACACACTCCTGCAACCAGTTTTCTAACCAAGTACATATGATTTCATCAATGCCAAAAAATCTTAATTTGTAAATTATAGGGCTTGTAAAGGCTCAAGGTTTTTTACCTTCATGCATTCTATGCATGTAGGTAAAAAAACCTTCTCTGTGAAGCATCCCCCCCCAGTCAATCACAGCCAGTGAGCCAATGAGAAAAGAGAGGGGGCAGACGGGGCCTACTCCGTGTATGAATGGACACATGGAGCAGCAGGTGCCCCCATAGCAAGCAGCTTGCTATGGGGGCACCTGACAGGAGAGAGGGGCCAGGAGTGCTGGCAGTGATCCAAGAAGAGGAGGATCCAGGCTGCTCTGTGCAAAACCACTGCACACAGCAGATAAGTATAGACATGTTTGTTATTTTTACTTAAAAAAATAAAAAGCCATTAAAATCACTTTAAGAGTTTATGAGGCACTGTGTCAAATGAATTTGTGAAATCTAGATCCACTACATCTACAAGCCTTCCTCTATCCAAATTACAACTTACCTCCTCATAGAATGTTAAAAGGTTGGTCTGGCAAGTATGGTCTTTCCTAAATCCATATTGATTACTGCTAATGATACTATTTTCATCAGAAAATTCTTGGATATGGTCCCCTATCATTCCTTTCAATAGTTCCCAATTCAGATGCAACATGTTTTTGCCGTGTATAACTAAATAAATGAACGCTGCTGTTGTGAATAATAATCTGCGGTGTAAAGTCTCTGGACAGAAGTATGCAGCTATGGAGTGGAAGTGGGCTGTGGGGGTTAGTTAACCCTTTCATAACCAGTGTTTGCACACCTAAATAATTTTTATACATTTTTAAGGACATAAATGATTTTAATTTGCAATGCTGTTTTAATTAGAAAGAAACTTGTTTTTTTATTGTTTGCTGACAAATGTTTAATGACATAAACATGCATGGTAGATGCAAGATAGATATCACTGCAGGAGGCAGCCTTCAAATGCAGAATAAGGCTTCTAATTTCTCAGCAAAGCATCTAGCTAGCATGTGATCACTTTGCCATAGCTGACATGATCACATGATCAAAAACCATTCTGATCTCATTATAGACCCCTAAGCTGTCTATGACAGCTGTGATTAACAGCCAGAAGCCTTGCAATTGTGGAACTCAAAAGGGAGACCTCTGAATTACATTAGGGGGGCAAATAATATTATTATATTTATGATTTTGAATACGCTTAGTTGAGACTGGATCTTTTCTGAGCATCTCAAATAAAAAAGTCGATTGGACACACCGTATGAAGATATGGGGGTTGATTTGCTAAAACTAGAGAGTGAAAGTTGTGCATGGTAGCCAACCAGCTTCTAACTTCAACTTTCAACTTTGAGCTTTGACAAAAAAAAAACCTGGAAGCTGTTTTTGCGCTCTAATGTTAGTAAATCAACCTCAAGGCATGATCTTTGCCAATTCTTAGAACTGTTAATAACAATTTTGAAATGTGTACGAGAAATTATGGGAAACCATGGCAGTATTATGAGTTTTAGGGTTAGTTTGAAGAAGAATTACACGTACCTAACACAAGTGATTGGAATATAGATAAAGATGAAGAAGAACAGAGAATTATATAAAAAGATACTGTTTCCTCCTAACCTTTGTGCTCAATGCAGTTTTCTTCATCACTGCCATCTTTACAGTCATTATCTCCATCACAGCGGAAGGCACTAGGAATACACTGTCCATTCTTGCACTCCGTTAGACCCTGACTATGACAAGCTATGAAAAAATGTAAATAGATATAGTTAATTGATCTGTTTCACAATCTCATCCAATCATTAGCTGCCTTAAAATGATAATATATAATTGCTACAAACAAGTAGTATATTCATTTTTCATTTTGCATAATTCCCGTTCTATTAATTGTGTTCTGTCTAAATACTGTATATGGAAAACAATGCAAACCCCAAAGACATTCAAAATAACAAAGAATATCTCTGTTTTGTATTTGAGCAAGATATTGTTTGATTTGATGCTACTATTATCTTGGGAAACTACAGGGGGCATCAAAGGGGAAACTGCTTAACCATAATTGTCTGCTGTGTATTTATTACCTGTATGCTCTAATTATGTTCTGCGCAAAATCTTCTTGCATTTTTTCTTTGTTTTCTTATCTGCTATGTTTAAGCTGCTACTGAGCTTATAAGGATTAAAAAATATTAACTATTGCCCAATTTTATTATAAATAAGCACCTGGAGAGCTGAACGTTTATGTATGAGATATATGAAGGATTTCATTGACTGATCAAAATAATGTGTTTTATTATTGTATTTATTATTGTAGTTAAAATTAAAAAAGTAAAAAGTAAATTAAAACTGAATTCTGGACTATACAGATATTGTCTACATACAAGCGCCATGCATATTCTTACTGGAATCTTGGTATACTTTGTGTATTTATTCTGGATCTGTACAGTAATCCAGCATAAACAATTCCTGAATTTTGCCTCTTTGCAGGAGTTTCCTGTAATAAAGACCAGCCACTGCTGTTCATTCAGCTTATGCAGCGTGGCTGGTCTTGTATCTGCCCTTACTTGGTAACTTAAACAACTGTGTTCCCTGCTTTGGCTATGAGCAGCACTATGACGATGTCCATGCCACTTTTGAAAGTTAATATCTGGTCTTGAAAAGGCATTTGTTGCACAAATAGTGGCTTTATATCCTCTTTAGTCATTGAGGACAACAGTATATTTAAATGAAAGTATGTAAGAAAAAAAAGCCAATGGGGACTGTGTTAAAAATCAATGATGAGCGGCACACATACAGTACAAGCAGGTGGAAGGGAAAAGCATACAAATTTTAAAGCAATAATGAATGGTTATTTGGTCTTTATGTGATCTGATATTATGTTTGTGCTCATTATATGGCTTTTTATATGACTTTTTGGGGCACATTTCTCAATGTTGGCCTCAATTAGACGTATCAAATTCACCTGAGTTTGCAACTTAATGTGCATTTCCCCCACTTATTTATTGCTCTGCGCACATTTCCTGACAACACTTAACTGAAATGTAATGGAAATGTGTAATAGCAAATTTGATGTTGCATACCCATATCAACATATAAAACTCAACTTATTTTTTTTTATGCTGGTCCCGCTTATGGGGTGTTAAACTTATTAAAATAGGTTTCTGCCACAAGAAAAGTGTTAAAACACAGCTTACTCCTCAATACCATCCTTCATTACCTGTTAGATCAATACTTAATAATTAATTTATTGTTTATCAATCCTTAATATTTAGGAATAATAATTATCTATGTGGTATTATTTTCATTCTCATTAATAATCCTCCCATATTATATGGAGTCTTAAACCTGAACTCCATACATGTATAAAGGGCACAAATTATTTCAGTTCTGAATACATTTTTTTTTTTTTTTAAACAGTTGCTTTTTTTGAAGATGTACAGTGGTACAGACAAACAGAGGTACATTAAACCTAATCAAGCAGGCAATATACGACAAGGTAAACAGAATACATTAATATCCGAAAACAAAAGAGTCCTACAACAGCATCCTGATAAAGTTCTGTGTTCCACTCAAGACACAACCAGAGCAAGCTAGTCAACCAGGAAATTCGAGTTCCAGTAGGGGAAGGGAAGCAACAGGTGAGAAGAGGAGGAAAAGGGAAAGGGGGGGATGGGGGGGGGGTAGGAGCGAGTGGGGGGGGGGGAGTAGGGAAAAGGGAAAGACAAGGAGATTAGGCGGTAGAGGTAGCAACACATTGTTCGGCTGCTACAAAACAGTTGCGGCTTATGTAAGTAAGTTTATAGAGAGGAAGAGCACCATTAATTGCTGCCTTCCAACCAGACACCGTAGGTGGGGTTGGCAGCCTCTATCTTATCAAAATTTCTCATCTAGTGTAATAAGTAGAGAAGACAAACAGCTTATTATGTTGAGGTGCCTCCACAAGATCAGTAAGTCCCAATAGCAGTATCAGTGGGTCCATAGGAACAGACAGGTTACCAACTGCATTGATAGTGTCCAATACCCCAGTCCAAAAGGGACGCAGCCTTGAACATAACCAAAACATATGGTTAAACGTGCCCTCAACGATATCACAGCGGGGACATGCCACCGTTCTGCCAGGATAAATTGCAGCCAGTTGCTGAGAAGTATAGAATACTCTATGGATACAGTTCAACTGTATAAAGCGATCTCTGGCAGAGATCATAGTAGGAAGATATTGCAAAAGGAAGTCCTCCCAGTCTTCTTCCGTCAAGCACGGGTGGTCCACGTGCTATTAACTATAGAGGGACTCTATTCTAGGGGTAGTCAGAGGGGATAGCAAGGAGTGGATAGAGGACAAAGGTTTAGGCAGGTCTTCCTCTATCAACAAAGTTTCTAAGCGGTCAGTTTGTATAGTAGGGGAAGATGGGAATTGAGCCACAATCGCATAGCACAATTGTAGAAACCAGAAAAACATCTGGTTAGGCAGGCCGTAAGCCTGTTTGAGCTCATCAAAGGAGACAAAGACACCCCGAGGCATGATGTGTCACAATATCTTAATGCCATACCCAGCCCACACAGCAGGATCCAGTGAATTGTGCAGATGAGGAAGTGTAGGGTTGCCCTACAGTGGTGTGTAGGGGGAGTAGGTGGTATGTATGCCATATTGAACCCTAGCCTGCCTCCATACAGTCAGGGTCGTCTGCATAGGGGTAGTGATGGCCGGGTTAGACTTTGGCCCCCCTAAAACAAGATTACTGAGCTCTGCAAAAGAGCCCAGTATAGCTGCTTTTAGGATCACCACCGCGTTGTCCCTAGGCTGAGAGAACCACCAGCGCACCGTAACTAAGACAGCCGCCCAATAGTACAGTAGGAGCTTAGGCAGCGCCAGGCCACCTCGATTGATTGGTAAATGTAAGGTAGATCTGGAAAGTCTAGGAGCTCCCCCAGCCCAGAGAAACACAGAGACAATACCATGCACACAATGAAAAAAGGATTGTGGAATCTGTATAGGAGTTTGGCAAAAACAATTGAGAAATTTAGGTAAAAAAAATAATTTCAGAAACATTTACTCGGCCAAAAGGTGCTAATAGGTAGGGAGGACCAGGCACTACATTTAGTCTGCAGATGTTACAACAGGGGAAGGAGATTGTCTGAAGCATACTTAGGTCACACTGAACCACCACACCTAAATATTTAAATTTGGAGACTGATTTTATAGGGGCAAAAGGAATGAAAGGTAGAGTTCCCAACACAAGAAGAAATACTATTGATTTTTCCCAGTTTATGTGCACTCCTGAATAATGGCCGAAGCGATCGATAATGTCAAGCGGTGCTTTAAGAGACAGATCACAGTCCTCTAGGTATAAAAGAGTGTCATCTGCGTACAAGGAAACCCGGTTTTCCCAGTCACCCACAGGAAGCCCTCACAAGGTCTTAGAGGAGAGGATCAGACAGGCCAAGGGCTCGATTGCCTGGGCAAAAAGACCTTGCCGAAAAGGGAACAGCCCAGTCAAGTGCCTCTGTGGAGAGCAAAAGGGGGATAGAGCATGATTAGCATGGACTCTTGCATATGGTGAGTTGTATAGGCACTTGACCCATGAGATGAAACTGGGGCCAAATCCAAAACGCCTTAGAGCCTCCCACAGGTAGTCCCATTAGACTGAGTCGAATAGCTTTTTGGAAACAAGGGACAGCACGACACCTGGGCCTTTATCCGGCCTTTATCCGGCATGAAGCCTGTCTGATCATTATGCACTAATGTAGAAATAACCGAACACAGTCTCCCAGCAAACACCTTAGCAAAGATTTTTGCGTCTGCATTCAATTGGACGGTAAGAGGAACACTGTGTCAGATCCTTTCCAGGCTTTAAAATCACCACTATCACTGCCTCCAGCATAGAGAGGGGCAAATTTCCTGTCACCTGTAGAGCACTAAAAAAAGTGATGGAAACAAGGAGTCAGATGATCAATATAAGTTTTGTAAAACTCAACAGGGTAGCTGGTGTTTTACCAGACTGGAGAGCACCAACTGCCTGCTGGATCTCTTCCAAAGAAATAGGGTCCTCCAATTTTTTGCTCTGGCCCAGATAAAGAGACAATAGATCAACAAAATCCAGATACTGGGACAACTCCAGTGAAGTATGGGTAACTTTGGAGGAATATAAGGCTGCAGAGTATTCAGTAAAATGGTGATTAAACGAGACTGGGTCAAGGATCACAGATCCATCCGCAGCATGAATGAGGGTAACGTTTGTCATAGGAGTCTGTTCCCTAGCCAACCAAGCCACTAGACACCAAGATTTGTACCCTTGTTTGAAAATGCATTGCTTCTAATGAAGCAATGCCTTTCTAGTTGCCTCCGTGTGCAAAAGAAGGGCTTCCCTAATGGCTAGCTGCAAGTTATGATGGTTAACGGAGTCAGGATTCGACACATATCTCAAACGTTTCCTGTAAGTCTTCACAAGGTTGGCACACACTGATGCTGGTATGTTGGCCCATTCCTCCATGCAGATCTCCTCTAGAGCAGTGCTGTTTTGGGGCTGTCGCTAGGCAACACGGACTTTCAACTCCCTCCAAAGGTTTTCTATGGGGTTGAGATCTGGAGACTGGCTAGGCCACTCCAGTACCTTGAAATGCTTCTTACAAAGCCACTCCTTCGTTGCCCGGGCAGTATATTTGGGATCATTGTCATGTTGGAAGACCCAGCCACGTTTCATCTTCAATGCCCTTGCTGATGGAAGGAGGTTTGCACTCAAAATCACACGATACATGGCCCCATTCATTCTGTCCTGTACATGGATCAGTCATCCTGGTCCCTTTGCGGAGAAACAGCCCCAAAGCATGATGTTGCCACCCCCATGCGTCACAGTAGGTATGGTGTTCTTTGGATGCAACTCAGCATTCTCTCTCCTCCAAACACGACGAGTTGTGTTTCTACCAAACAGTTCTATTTTGGTTTCATCTGACCATATGACATTCTCCCAATCCTCTTCTGGATCATCCAAATGCTCTCTAGCAAACTTCAGACGGGCCTGGACATGTACTGGCTTAAGCAGGGGGACACGTCTGGCACTGCAGGATCTGAGTCCCTGGCAGTGTAGTGTGTTACTGGTGGTAGCCTTTGTTACGTTTATCCCAGCTCTCTGCAGGTCATTCACTAGGTCCCCCCATGTGGTCCTGGGATTTTTGCTTACCGTTCTTGTGATCATTTTGACCCCACGGGATGAGATCTTGTGTGGAGCCCCAGATTGAGGGAGATTATCAGTGGTCTTGTATGTCTTCCATTTTCTAATTATTGCTCCCACAGTTGATTTGTTCACACCAAGCTGCTTGCCTATTGCAGATTCAGTCTTCCCAGCCTGGTGCAGGTCTACAATTTTGTTTCTGGTGTCCTTCGACAGCTCTCTGGTCTTCACCATAGTGGAGTTTGGAGTGTGACTGTTTGAGGTTGTGGACAAGTGTCTTTTATACTGATAACAAGTTCAAACAGGTGCCATTGATACAGGTAATGAGTGCAGGACAGAGGTGCCTCTTAAAGAAGGTACAGGTCTGTGAGAGCCAGAAATCTTGCTTGTTTGTAGGTGACCAAATACTTATTTTCCATCATAATTTGCAAATAAATTCTTTCCAAATCAGCCAATGTGATTGTCTGGATTTTTTTCTCATTTTGTCTCTCATAGTTGAGGTCTACCTATGATGCCAATTACAGGCCTCTCTCATCTTTTTAAGTGGGAGAACTTGCCACTGTATGTGGGGACTATAGGATTTGAGAAATTTTAAGACCAGGGAACACTTCATGGGGGGGGGAGAAAAAAACTAAAAACTCCCATTAAAAATAACCAATCCCCCCTAAAAAAAAAAGAAATTGAGAGAGTCATATTTTCCTGAACAAAAAAAAAAAAAAATGGCAACAAGCGAGTTATTGATACATCATGCAACAGCAAAGCTCATAGAGGCCAAGGGAGAAGCAGCACAAGGAACCAATCAGGTATTCTGCAGTGCTCATATGCTAACAAGGAACATGCTGATAGGAGGGGAGAGCAGGAGTGTAAGAGAGATGAGCTAATTAGTCTTTTGCTTCTCCTTTTTTAATGTCCAGTCACAGACTGGGGGAGGGAAGAGGAAAATCAGACATCCTGCTGCTATTCCAGATAGATTGTGCTTTGTGGTAAAGCTGTATAAATCTAAGGATTGAATAATAAGAAATACAAATTCTTTGGCATGTAAAACAACTTTTTTATGTATTTAATCTCAGCTGTGTATTTAGTTTTTTGCCTGCAATTAAGGGGACATTTTTTTAACCCATCCCTTCCCAAAATTCCCAGGTCTGCTTCCTTTACATAGTGCACTTATGCTATGGAATTTAATCTCCTAATGCTCATTAATGTTGATTATGCAAGCATAAAAAATGCAATTTAAAAATTACAATGGTGCAAAAATACATTTAAATAACAGTTGAAACAATGGGAGCATTGAGGGAAAGGCGCCCCTCAACCCATCCCAAAGTTACAGTGTTGGCCTCAGACATTGCTCTGGCCACGCCCCCGAAATGTTTCATCCAGCCCGCCGGGCTTGGTCTGAGAGGTCACCTCTCTAACCAAGTCCCACTGGGTACGGTGAAATGCATCAGGGGTCGTGGCCAGAGCAACGGTTGAGGCCAACACTCCAATGTTGGGCTGGTTTGAGCAGCATCTTTTCCCTCAATAATCCCATTTTTGGGCCCATGTATTTCAACTAATTTTCACTTATTTTAACATGGAGAAAAAGCTTACTACAGTTGACTTCATCTGACTTATCGGCACAGTCGTGGTCTCCATCACACACCCATCGTAATGCTATACATCGTCCGTCTCCACATTTATAACTATGTGCAGGATTACACTCTGAGGAAACAGAACCAGTTATTGTACCACAGACAATCTAGCTGACATCACCAAGTATACATAAATATATTTTAATATTCCTTGGAAAAGTACTGAATAAGTATTACCAAATAAGTGATAAGGACTACTTGAGGTCCCATGCACACTAGACTTAAAACGCCAGTTCCCCTTGCAGAGAAAAAAAAAAAACGCTCATATATAGCTTTTTTCTAATGTATAAGTGTGTTTAGGAGAGTTTAGTATTTTTTTCTGCCAGAAAACTCTAATAAAAACACAAACCAGAAGGGTTTTTTTTTCTGCCTCTAAATGCTGAGTTTAAAATATGCCTTTAAGTCCTCATGCACACTGGACGTTTTCACAGCTGCTGTTTTTGGCTTTTGGCGTTTTTTTCTACACTCCCCAGCATGTTATCCTATGTGCCCATGCACACATAGGCTTTAATCAGCGTTTTTTGGCAGAGGCGTTGTAGATACTGTAAATATCTCCAAAACTTGCACCATTTAGGAGATATTTACTTGTGTAGCAGCCGGCGCATGCGCTTTGAAGGAACTGCATACCCGTGCTGTTCCTTCAGAGCAGTGTGCCATAAACAGTGACTCCCATGCATGGGAGTGATGTCATAATGGCTCAGCCATTTAAAGTAAAGCCCGTGAACCCAGAAGGAAGACCGGGTAAAGAGGAAAGCTCTGTCAGCAGTGATAAGCGCACCACTGGAGGGCTTCGTTTTAAGGTAAGGTTCACATAATGTGCTAGCATGCAATGCATACTAGCACATTATAACTTTGCCTTGCAGGTGAATTTTTTTTTTCCAGTTTACTACCGCTTTAAAAAGTTTAAAAATTGTTAGCACCCAGCCAGTACAGCTACAAGCTCAAATAGCTGACAACCTGCTAAACCAAAAAACATTCTCACCAAGCACCTTCCACTCAAACAGGTGATAGTAACCCAAACCCAAAACTGGAGCAGACAGAGCCTGGAGAAGCTGGGCATGACAACCGATCAGCTTCCATCTTTTTTTTCAAAGCTTAGCTGAACACGCTCATTGGTTGCCATTCACAGCTGCTTTAGAACCTGTCTCCTCAGTTTTGGTAAATTCCCGCAACGAGACTTGCTGGCTATTATTGGCTTCTTCAGTCCCTCTGAAGGAAGGGAATTCTTTTGGTATTTAAACCAAAAGAATTCCCTTTGCTGCCCTATTATCTCTAAATTCCCCACAATCTAAATGACTGAAAACCTTCAGGATGATATTAAAACATCCATGATATAAAAATCTATTACTTCAAGTCATTCTCTTAATGAAGAATTCTTACAAAGGCCTACCTACACCCAATCTTTATGCAATGTCATGTTTTGTATTTTGATGCATTTCACTAAGTAAAGAAAAAAAATCTGAAGCATGGTAGAAATTAAAATATGATCCATACACCAAGTTTCCAATCAATCAAAGAGGGATTAAAACTTCTATCAGGTTTGTACTGCTCTCCATGACTCCACTGGAGAGATTTCCCCATACTGTGTGCCTCAGTGACACCAAAAGAGTGAGAGATCTTCCCAATGGAAAAAAAACATCAATAAAAACTTAGTAAATACTACATACCAAAAAAAAGCTTCAAGTGTAAGCCATAAAGTAATATCTATATGCAATAAAATATTTAGAAAAACAAAATAGTATATCCAAAAAAGCTTTTTGGCTGATAAAATGAGTGCTTAAAACCTTCCAGAATATGAAAACCAATTAAAAAGCAAACATGGAAGCAGGCCATGAGACCAAAACTAAACAAAAAATGCAAAGGCCATCTACTAGGTTGGTACAAAAAACAAAAAAAAATCTGGTGCAGCTCTACATAGAAACCAATCAGCTTCCATTTTTTTGTCAAAGCTTAATTGAACAAGATGAAGTTAGAAGCTGATTGGCAACCATGCACAGCTGCACCAGATTTTTCACTCTCCAGTTTTAGTAAATCAACCCCATAGTATCTAGAGTATGCTTTATTGAACAATATATACTTTTGTGATTATATGTGTTTTCTTGAGGTAATCATCCAAATATTAGATTACTATTTGGATGCACTTTTTGCTGAAGATTAGCGCCTCTTTTAAATATTGGATCCTGAATGTGATTGTGACTACCTCCACCATCAATAATTTAGATATTACTTTATGGCTTTTGGAGAGACACCTGAAGCTCTTTTGGTATGTAGTATTTACTAGCTTTGTTTTGGAGACAAGGTGTTCTCTCCTCTTTTTTTTATAGGGTTATTGTTTTCTTTATTCATTATGTATAGTAATAAAAACATGACAAGTTCTAACCCTTTCATGCTCAATCCAAAAGAAAAGCAAACATTTTGCCTGGAATTTGGTTTCAAGATTAAGTTTGCTGAGAACATGTGTTTTTGTCCAAGTTTTCTTTTTAAAGATAAATCTTCTGAACTTTGGATGGTGTTATACTACAGCATATAGTCTGTTTGTTCTCTCCCCTCTGCTTTTGTGGATTTCCTCCGAGTATTCTGGTTTCCTCCCACACTCCAAAGATATGCTGCTAGGTTAATTAGCTCCTAACTAAACTGTCCCATGTATGTATGCATGTGAAGTAGAATCCTTAGATTGCAAGCTCTTTAGGACAGGAAAAGATATGAATGTACAATATATAAACCCCTATTCAATCAGCGCAACACACCCTAAAATAATATGACAGTGGTCTAAATAGTTGCTGCTAAAACACTGTTAGTGACTTCACAACACCTGAACCAAAAGAAATAACAATAAAGTGTAGCGCAACAGACTAATATCTCATATAAAAATAAGTAAATATAAAAATAAGTATTATACAATAATTAAAGTCCCATGAAAAAGTCTCTTATAACACCATTGTGCAATGTGTATAAGATAAATCTTCTCTCTTCTTCAGTGCCAAACGTGCCACCACCATTAGGTGAAAAACCTGCTCACCTCACTTTATGACCTCATCAATAGGTCATTATGCGCTCAACATGTGGACAGACTTGTATACACCCTCTGTGGTCTTTCCTCCAGCAAATCCGCCGGCACCACCACTGAGGAAACCCGAATCTTGGCCGTAACCTGTATAGGTGGAAGGAGCTGGGCCCTTGAAGTTATGAACTGATAACTATCTGAGAGAGTGGGGTGGTGAGCCATATAACAAAATTACACATTACATGTTGGCTTGTTTCTTACATTTTGTAAGTGTTTTTAACCACTTCAAGTCCGGACACTTTCACCCCCTTCCTGTCCAGGCCAATTTTCAGCTTTCAGCGCTATCACACTTTGAATGACAATTGCGCGGTCATGCAACACTGTACCCATATGAATGTTTTAGCATTTTTTTGAGACAGGTAAAACTTTATTTTGGTGGTATTTATTCACCACTGGGATTTTAATTTTTTTGATATATAAATGAAAAAGTCCAAACATTTTGAAAAAAAGTGTTTTTCTTATAAAATTTTGCAAATAAATAATATTTCTTCATAAATCTTGGCCAAAATGTATTCAGCTATCGTTTAAAAAAAAAAATAACCCAAATTAGTTTATAAACCAAAAATTATAATTTTTCCAAAACATTTTTTACAGTTTAATTTTATTTTTTTATATTATTATTTATGTTTTGTTTGTTTTTTTAACAACTGTCACCCTAGCAGTACAGTGTCACCATAGTGTACTACTTGAAGGGGGTGATGAAGATTTTTTTTTTTTTACACTGATTGCTTTTACACCCATAAAGGCTGTAAAAGCAATAATTTCTCCTTCTCTTTGGCTGTATTCTTGCAGCCATTGAGAAATACTGTGAGAGCTGTGATTGGTCACAGCTTGTCACATGGTACAAGCCTGTTGTAAATAGCCTTGTACCGAGAGACCTCTGTGTTCATTCACAGATTTTACTAGTAAGAAAAGGGCACCAGATCTCAGTGCAGCGCACTCCTAGGGAGCGCGCACAGGCAGGGAAGCAGGGAGGACGTTTACAAATGGTCACCCACTCCTGCACTGCTTCCGTCCAGCCGTTTATATACATGGGCCGGATGGGAAGTGGTTAATCTGGGCGCTAATAAATTGTTTTATAAATAGAGAGCACTATGGTTCCACTTTTCTGTTTTCCATAATACATATTATATGACAGCTATGTATGCTGAGGTGGTGCCAGGAGAGGGGTTGGAGGAAGACCACAGAGGATGCAGAAAAGCCTGTCCACATGTTGAGTGCATAATGACCTATTGAAGAGGTCATAAAGTGAGGTGAGCAGGTTTTTCACCTAATGGTGGTGGTATGGTTGGCACTGAAGAAGAGAGAAGATTTATCTTATACACATTGCACAATGGTGTTATAAGAGACTTTTTCATGGGACTTTAATTATTGTATAATATTTATTTTTATATGAGATAATGTACTCAGGGGCGGACTGACCATTTGGAAACTCGGGCACTGCCCGAGGGCCCGGGTCAGTAGGGGGCCCCATGAGATGCCCCTGGTACCTTTTTCATAGGCTTTTTGAGTTTGGGCAAGGACACAGGGGCCCCATGATCCCCTATTGCCCGGGGGCCCCATGAGTTGTCAGTCCGCCCCTGTGTACAATATATGTAAAGAGCTGCATAAATTGTCAATACCAGTAATAAAAAAAAATAAATAAGGCTGTTTGACCATTCAGAATCTTTGTAAAAAAAAAAGTGTAAGCATTCACTGCAGCTATCCAAAAAAAAAAACATTTTTATGAGGTGTTGAATGTCATCAGGAATGTGCTTTTCACATGATTTGATAATTGATGTAAATATCATACATTTTTTTTTTTTGTGAAGATTCTCAACATCTATAGTAAAATCAGCCTGTGTAGTGTTCCTATAGGGCCACATAAGCTGTGCTTGCTACATCTTTGGTAAGTACAATTTATTCAGACCATAAACTACACCTGTCACCCTTCCTATTTCAAACCTGTTGCTGAACTGGGGAATACTGTAACCTGAATGATGTATAATATGCAATTAATTAGTGTAATATATAAAACCTGACTCCATTATTCACAGATAAGTTGTTCAGGAGGTTTTATGGCATACCGCAATTCTGCTCATCGCTCAGGTCTCCACAGTCATCATCATCCATCGCAGACAAAGCTATGATTAAGGCACTTTCCGGTGTTACAACGGAATAGATGTTCACTGCAATCTGTAATTAAAAATTATGTCAATGGTGGAATTCACAGGAATTCTGCATGTGCTCTGTGGAATAACGTGACTTATGTTTGCAATAAAAAGTGTCTACACCATGAAGGGACCTTATGTTTGCTTAAAATAAAGGGGCACATTCAGAGTGATTATGAGGGCAATGAATCTGCCATGGACTCAGATGCTTTTAATGAAAACCTAAGAGACACCACTGTGGCTTGTGTCAATGGGTAGTAAGATCATAAGAGAATATCAGCTACATTCTTCATGAGCTCTGTTTTCCCTCTTTACATTATTGTAATTGATCCCACAGTACAAATTTTGTAACTGGTTGCTATCCTCCAGTTAACCCTCTCACTGCCTGATCTTATTCTAATATATACAGTATGTACCGGTAATCATTTTTCACAGTTTCACCAATAAAGCTATATAGGTGTGCGCAATAAAAATTCCCAAAACACATTTTTTTCTGAAACACAGATCTCGTAAAAAGATCATTAGGCCTTAGAGAGATGCTCTTTTACATTTACAAAACAAGAAGGAAGTAGGTGTCTTTGATTTTAAGCAATGCAATAGTATTCTCCTAAATAATTGTTTTTTTTTAAACACATAAAGTACATTGACAATTTTGATATCAAGCCTTTTCTAAATAGTTTCTGTTGAGTATAAAATTGAAACCTTTGCAGAAACTTATTGGTATTAGTGAGAAGGACTTACTGCAATGTACCTCGTCGCTCCAGTCATCGCAGTCATTGTAGCTGTTACATGTCAGTTTCTTGGCTATGCAGATTCCATTGCTGCACAGAAAGCTTTCTTGGTCCCCACAAAGTGCTGAAACACAAAAATAAATAAAACATGAATGTGTTGCACTCCAAATATTTCTATAAATGCATTTTCCTTTCATTTAAGCGGAGTCCAGCCAAAACGGATATTTGTGGTTCCTTTATCCATTGCAAACTCTATTGGTGTTTTATTTTTTGGGGTGTTTGCATACCTACTGTGGCCATTATGATGAGCCCCCACTCCCTCAGTTGAATTTTTATTATATTTTATACTATGGAGAATGCAAAAGAAAGTTTGGTAACATCCCAAAGTAGGAAAGACTACCAAAACTCCAAGATGGAAGGGCACAGAACAAAAACTATAGCAAGGATTTCTCCCCATGGGAATGATCAAAAGAAAAAAGAAGCCAGTGTGTTTCAGCCCAGCAGACTCCCACTGTAACTAAAACATCACATTTGGGTGGACGTGCGTCTGTAGTCCCAGTTGGGAGTGTGAAAGCAAGGGTGGCTACGGTGGGGCTCCATGGGACCCTGTGAGGAAACATGGCTACTATAAATCAGGAATCAAAGGAGAGAGGATTTAAAAACAGAATATAGAGCAATGACAAGATTGACAAAGAAGGCACCCATTAAACATGGTAAGCATCGAGGTGAGCAGCACTCTATATTTTTTGCACTAACACTTTAATACATGTTCCTTCTTCAGTCTGAAGAAATATGTTTCTGTTGGCACTGCATTTGTACATACATAAAATAGCACATGTGATACTAATATAACAATTTGTTATTTAAGTATCTCGTAATTCAACAATTTTACTCATAATTCACATGACAACCCACTTATTAAATAGATTTTCTCTGGTCTCCTCAACAGCTGCAAGCATCTATGAAGAGTTGTCACTTGGAAGGGCTTATTACATCACTGCCAGTTTAATGAACAGCATAAGAACAATCACAAATGTTAATTTGTCAGAAATCAGATGAATTATGTGTCAAAATATCAAGAATAGCACATTGCTGTCAATTTCAAAGAGCATCTACTTAAATCAATATTTCTAAACCTTTTTACCAGGAGAAGAAACCTTAAAATTATTTAACGCTCTCAGAGACCCCCTGTTAAAAAAATCATTATATCTACAGGTCATATTCACAAGGCCAGTAAGCTGTAGATATAATAAAAAATAAAATAGTAAAGAATTCAGTGTACCAAGCCTCTATGACACCCAGAGCAGATCATTCATTTTCACTAATAGACATAGAGGTTGATTTACTTAAACTGGAAGTGTAAAATCTGGTGCAGCTCAGCACATAAACCAATCAGCTTCCAGGTTTTATTGTCAAAGCTTAATTGAGCAAGCTGAAGTTAGAAATTGATTGGCTACCATGCACAGGTACACCAAATTTTGCACTTTCCAGTTTTAGTAAATCAACCCCATAGAGTTAAACCATAAATTATAATGGCCGGGAAAGAAACGCCAGCAACAAAAATTGTAGTGTCCTTTTACATTGGAGGTTAGTAGAGAACTTCCTCATTCCATTGTTGGTCAAAGGAAAAATATCTGGATACAGTGGTTGTCTTAATATACTGCTCCCTGCTATTGGTGGTCAGTTTGAGACGTGTCCTCATACATTTGTTGTCAGTGGGAGAGCTGCTCCCTTAAACTGTCTGTCAAAGAGAGTGGTGACCCCTTAGAATGGTGGTCAGTAGGAGAGATTCCACCTTAAACTAGTGGTTAATGGAAGAGGTGACCCCATAGATTGGTGCTCAGTGAGTGAAAAATCCCTTACACTGGTGGTCTGTGTAAAGATTGCCTCCTTACATTTATTGTCACTGGTCCCATACCACTGGTTTTGTCAAGTGAGGTTGGTAATGTAATTGTGCAGACGTCATCATATGAGAGATCTGTTGCTCAATAAAACCTCATCAACCTCTGCAGGTACCCTAAGGTTTCATAGAACCCTGGTTAACAAAGGCTGGCTTGGATTATAAAGCATTATGCATAATGTCAGTGCAAAGTGGGTGGATATATACAGTATTTCCTGTTCAAGCATTTTTCTAATTCTTTATAAACAGCAGTGTACAGTCGAAGTGTGTAGAGGTATCGATTTGCATAGATATAGGACTAGAATGTAATATTGTATGAGTAATTACAATCATCAGAATATTGCCTTGTACTCACATTGTCATATTAGTATTACTATATTTTCAGATTTGTTTTAAAATGTATTTAAAACAACATATTACAGTTCTGGCATTTTCAACATCCATATGATAAAGCATGGAACATAGTCTAAATATCACAGTGCTATTAATGACTTACAGAACATTATTGTATAAGTGAGTAAAATGTACTGAACATGGCAAAAAGATAGCAATTTCAAAGGTACAGAACAATATCAATAAGCACATGAATGTACAACTACTACAAAAGAAAACAGAGATACAAATGTAAACAAAACTACTGTATTCTTTGATTCTGGACCTGTTTGCAATTACTTACCAGTCTTTCTTTTGCTATTGCCCTGTTTTTTTCAAAGCAGGATGCTTTCAGTACAAATGACAAACTTAGAATTTTGGCCCGCATAACACTAGGACATATATATATATAATATTTACTATTGAAGCATATTTTATATATCAGTTTTAGCATAATTAGATAACAGAAATATTTGTTCAGATTCTTAAAAATCTTCTAACACTTTGAGAGTGACAATCTACAGGAGCACATTGGGTTTTTCTATTAAGCTGTCTATAGATTGATCAAAATTTGGCTGGTTTAGTAGGGACCAGCCAATTTTGATCCATCTATGGTGTCCGTTTATGACACACAGAATAGCTGAGATTCAGAGGATCACAGCTATTCTCTGGTCATTCACAGTTTATGACACCCAGGAGAACATGTTCAGCCCTTCTCTGGAGATCTGTGTTCTCCCTCCAGATTCTCCAGTCCAGAGCTGGAGAATCGGAGGGACCAAAAACTAAGCAGAGATAATTTACCTCTGTTTAGTAAACTGATCTTTTACTGTAATCTCGCGAGATTATAGTAAAATCAGCCGTTTTCCAGCGTTTGTAGACCATTCTCCCTTCGTTTGGAGAACTGATCTACATATGCTTCATAAACGGCATTCACAGGAGAATTGTGTTCTCCGAGAATGTCGGAGAACTGAGCAGCGATCTATTACTGCTGGTTCATAAACGGACACCTATGATCAGTCCCGTTTCAGAGAAGTTGGTCTAATGATCGACTTGTTTCGAACTGGCATGCTGGAAAATTTTCCTTCGATCAGTTCTGCAGCAAATCGGTCCCAGCTGTCAGAATACAATAACACATATTATACAATAACACATCCATACTTTTTTTTCCGATCAGCCCTCTGGCTGATCAAAAAGAGCCTGATCCATGTATGACGAGCCTTAGGTTTAGTGAATAGGGAGATTGGTGGATACCACCATTATAACAATGATAGCAAGTCCAGTATGGATCCTGGCACTAGCAAACTTTTTTGATTTGTGTTACTAAAGGCAGATTTTTGTTTTAATTAAAAAAACAAACATTTAATACTCACCTGCTCTGTGCAATGGTATTGCACAGAGTGGCCCTATCCTCCTCTTTTCGGATCACCCGCCAGCAATCCTGGCTCCTCCTCTTCTTTGTTTGTCGCCATAGCAAGTAATTTTCTAGGGGACACACACTGCGTACTCGCTCCTGACCTGTGTGTCTTTGCTCCATAGACACACAGCAGGAATTAGTCTGCCCCCCCTCTTCACCGCATTTGATTGACAGCAGCAACAGGCAATGGCTCCTGCTGCTGTTAGAGTCCCTGTGTGACGAGGAAGCGAGGGGAGAAGAGATGCAGCCGTGCAGATCGCTAATATCTTCTCATCTCTCTTCCCCTTCACACAGGGAAAGGGGAGCAGAGGGACACTAAAATGTTTTCACCTTAATGCAAGCAATGCATTAAGGTAAAAAAAGTTTTTAAGTGTAGTAACACTTTAATTTTTTAACTTTGCATATATTATATGATGTTTCTTGCTTTTGTGATTAGACTACTTCTATATGCTATTTTTTATTCAGTATCAATGGTAACTTTAAAGACTATTGAAACTGACCCAATGGTTGGTATTGTGTTGGACCATATACAATATGAACATATAAAATGCTACGAGCATTAGACCATAACCACTATTCAAAAGGCAGTCTTCAGGCCACCTCCTAAGGCTGATTAGTGCTGTGGGTAACTGCAGACCATTGAATTATATTAGTAAGCTGAACTCTGGACACTTACACTCTCCCCCTTGCTCGTCAACACCAGTCTGACTAATCACTAAGTTAATACCAAGAAAACAAACATTCTAAATCCCAATACCCAAATTTATAATTATGTGTCATTCTAGGACCTGAGTTATTTCTCTTATTTCTGCAGTGGAGAAGAGGTTCTCCTCCAGTTGTCCATATGACTGCCTTGATGACGGGACACTTCCTACTAGCTGTACAGGGGCAGGGTCCTTTGAAAAATGCAGCAACTGAAAACACTGGGAGATGACTTGTCTGCTGCAGCACTGGATTCACCAGACGTGGCACCAACAAGGGGTGCGTATGGCAGATTTAATGTTAGAATAGTGAATGAATGGGTAAAAGAAGGGTGGAGGCTAGGAGGGGGGGAGAACTGTGCCCAGGGTTGGGCTTTAAATAGTTTGACTAAACTCCTAACAGGAAAAATGTTGAACTTATCATCAGGATCAGTAATAAAAAAAATGAAAGAATCACTTAAGAGGAAAAATAGCCAAAGAGGAGAGATAGCGCTCAAGGAAAAAAAAACTTGGCAGAGCAGTTATTTCCTGCAGCCATCAATTCTTCACAGTTTTAACTTGATAACATTTCTAGAAGCGTCTTTTGGATGACATTTGTATGCTCAAACAGAAATCTCAGAATGCATGTAAACAAAGAGAAAAAACAGAATAGATAGTCTATTTTATGTAGTATGATAGCTGTATATTCTGGCAATTTTCCATTGATGTGAAAATTACTATCGTGTTCTGAGTGATGT